GTTTTTGAAAACAACATGAAAAGCGATGTTTGTACGATCTTTTACTACATCTAAATTATCTAAGTATTTCATAGCTTGTTGAAATTCAGGGTCGGTCGCATATAAAGTTAAGCTCATTGGACCACCCCAGTGTTGACAAAGTTCTTCAAGTAATTGTAAACGATCGTAACTAAACTGAGCGACAAAAGTAACGTCGTTAACTAAAGGTGTATACTCAAATTTTCTAAAGAACAAGAAAGTCCTCCATTTATTAGTTTTAGCTTTATGAAACTCAGAACAAGCATCTTCTTCGATAGATTCTTCTTGATTTTTAACACCTGAACAATCATACAATATTCTTTTCAACAAATTTCCATTCAATTCCAAAAACGTCGTGTAAATACTGCGGAAATAATCTCCATCTTTGTTAACAACATTAAATTTATAAGGAGAGTTCCAATGAATGATTTTAATACGATGGTTATTGTAACAATTCGCGCTTTGCGTATTTACGCTCAGTTGCGTGTTCCAATAGCAAGGCACTTGGTACAAAAGTTCTGGATACTCTTTTAAAATTGCATTCATAATATCTTGATCAGCTAAAGACGTTTCGCCATACTTTATAGCTGTGTGTTTAGCTACAATATTCCAAAGTTCATCCCAATTCCTTTTTCGAAGTTTTTCAAGGTCATAAAGGATAACACCTGTATTAAAACTACAATTGAGATGATGCTATTGTTGGTTTTGAAGTTAAATTTTAGTTACTCACCCTCTTCCTATAGCTGGCCAACGAGATTTTGATAAATAATAGTCACTTTGGTTGTCGACCAAGCCAATCATTTGGCTGGAATTAAAATTTTTGAAGATATTCCACAAATCGATGATGTCGCCATTAAAAGTTAGGTCCATGTCTAATACTATGAGTTGAGGAATGTGCTCGGAAATGATTTTGTGAAATAAGAGTTTTAAAAGGCCGTAAATACCAGAATAATGATTGTTTGGCACCCATTTGACTTCTTCGACTAGATTACTAATATCGTAAAATGTAACAGAAACTGAATAAAAATATCACAATTAATAAAAAAAAGGATCATTAAAAAAATACAATCACCTTGCGGTACATCCCAAGTCTCAAACAAATTCAACAATACTTTTTCGGATAACTTATTAACTAAAATATGGAAATGCAAAGGATTGCTTCTGTAGAAATAAATAGATTTTAACATGGTGTGAAAATACAAATTAGCTTGGTAACCAGCACAAACAATTCCAATATGAATTACTGTACATTTTTCAGGATTGATTTGATTTTCTTCAAAATCACTTTGGTTATGATTGACTAGGAGTAAATTTGAGTTGTATATATTTCTGAAACGCCCCTTTATCGCCTTTTTTATATGTCCATAAGATTTTTCTGTTTCGTGCACTAAAAAGAAACAAAATCAACCTAACCTCAAATTAATAAAATAAACACTTACTATGAATATACTGTATAATGTAATTAAATATTATGATAAAAATAAGGATAAAAGCCATAGCAACAGCTATCCTATGTCGTGCACAGCAATGTAAAAGCCCATGGCTCTTTTTAAACCGAATTTTGATTATTGATCCTTCAAAACGCTTTCAACAAGCATAATTTGAACTCCACAACTGACTTTTGCACACGTTTCTGACAAACTTTCATTAATTAAATCGATAACATATGAATCATATGATGTTAAGTTAAACACAATATATTGACTAGGAGAAGACGTAATCACTTCTGGACTATGTAGTTTAAATATTATCCGCATGCCGGCGCTAGATCTACTCTACTTTCTAACCTCACATATTTAAAACTAAATTATTTATAATTTATAACATTAATAAATGTAACTATTCTAAACGATCTTGTCTTATTGTTAGAAGCCAATCTCTGTTAAAATTTTAAGAAAACCAAACAAGATTTTGAAATATGCATGATGACAACTAATAATGAGAAATCAGGCGAAGTGCCGACGAAGAAGCTGTAGACATTTATTATACATTACAATTATCGGATAAGAGAAGAAAGAGTACAGAGTAGTAATGAGTTTATATCAAAATTTATCATTAATGAAGAGAACAAATATTTAATCAATGTAAATTTAATGTAATAAAATAGTTGTTAATTGAAGACCTTGCAGCAACAATGAGGCAGCTCCACTTTTTGTCAAAAATGAGTTAAATACACTTTGTTAGAGTTGCATCCAATAAAATAGTAGCCATCAGTTAGTGCAACAACAAGGCACCAACCAAATGGAGTCCTGGTAGAGCTATGTTAAAAAGAACTGCCTCCACCTTTAAATTATAGCAACAAGAAGGCAGCTCCTGTATGAGTTATACTTGAATATGAACCTGCAGTATAACGATTCTTCAGGTTTTGATAACAGGACTTTAACAGTCGATAGATCTTTTAAAATTAATACAAAAACTTACAGATATACAGATTCATAAAATTACAGTTGGCCAGACAAGTATTGAACATATCTAAAACTACAGAAGTAGTTGTAGTTGCACAATGTACAGGATGTCCAAATTTCGATGGGTTTGCAGGGTATCTCAGTTATTATGAAAGATAGAAAGTTGCGGCTTTCGCGAACCTGAGCTACTTTTTTGTGAAACTTACAATGGCGCAAACCAAATTTTCATAGCCCTCTTCGTTTTTGATATACAGGGAGTGTTTCAAAATTTACGATTTTCAGCCACCTCCTATATCTCAGCTATCCGGAAACGTAAAAACTGGTTCTAATAAATTTTTTCATGTAGAATCCAATGGTGCACGTAGAATTTTTCTAGTCATCGCGGTTTTTGAGTTATAAAGAGTTTAGTATTTTAGAAGTTGAGTATTCGGTATTTGAGTTGTGTTTGTTGTATTTTATTTGAATTGTAGTACAGGGTGTACTACACTTCAGAATAAGCAACTAAAAATGGTTTCCAATAAACAACTGATACATGTTCTTATGGTGAGGTTCAACATATATTGTTCTTCCACCTCACCATAAAGTATATAAAAAGAAAAGAAACAATATAGCGTGTTAAATATAAAAAAAGCAACACAACCAAAACTACCAACAACCTCAAGACCTGGTTCTAATAAAAGAAAAAAGATAAATGATGATCTGACAGCAGAAGCGCTGATCATTTTAACCATTATGATCTGTTATGAAAAAGTATTGCTGTAAGGTTGAGAAGTCTACAAACACGCCAGGCCCTCATAGCAGAAAAAAAAGATAGTTGAGATACTATTTGAACCTGAAATGGGTTATCCGAGCGCATCGTCAATGTACCATTACAGTTCATCTACAAGTCACAGTCCTAATATTACCCACACCGTCCCCAACATATAGACAAGGCACCCATTCCTCTCTCAATACAACACAGCACCCTCTTATTTTTCTCAATTTAATGATAATTCATAAAAAGGAAAGAACAAAACTCAACTTTTTTGAGACTAAACGTTAAGACTAAGCATTAAGTGATTTCCTTTAAACTTCAATGTAACTCAGTATATTGTAAAAGTAATTTAAACTTCATATTTCATGTTACATGCGTTACATGTTTCTGGGATAATTTTTCCAAGAGATTGCGGTGATTTGAAAATTTGTTGCTAGAAATCTCAAGGTAGCTTTCATGGTTAATCTTTCATGTGGAGATATTGCTGTTCTCATTACTGTTTCATTCTTCTTGATTAATGGAGAAACGAGCGAAAGTAACTTTTGCTACAGTGTTTCGGTCATGCGCAAATAATTGAGGAAATCTAATGGTTCTTCACTTAATTCTTTTAATAACCTGATGACCAAAGATTGGTTTCGCCTTTGCAACCACTTCTTACACCATTGTTTACGCATTTTCGATTTTTTACTTTTTTGTAGAATTACAAAAAGGAAACTGAGTAAATGCTGCTCTATCGAATTCATTGTGAAAACTGAAAGATATACATGAACTGTGATTCTACTGTGTACAGTTTGAGCTGACAGTTTAAACTGAACAGTTCAAACTGTACGTATTTGGCCGGCCTTAACGAACGTTAATGCTCGGTAAAAAGTCATTCAGATCCTCTGGGGAGATAAACTGCGACTCAAAAATGGAGAATCTGATACGATTAACAGCAGGGCAGTGGCATAAAACATACTCAATGGTCTTCTCGTCCTCCGCATATAGTCGGCTAGGCATAACAAATTGAGTCTTTAATCAGCAGTGGCCAGCAAAGACACCCATTAGAACTTGAATGTTGCAATGAGCAAGTCCTAGAATATTCCCGGGTTTGACAGTGGCGTGTCTCATTCCAGGAGAACTGGTCCACAGTAGGCGAAGTCTCTCTTCAGCCCACAGTGCAATGCAATCCTATGTTTGGCCATAGCAAATGCTGGCCAAACATATCTTGCCCCACAAACGCTTTAGCGCTGCCCTCTCGTGCTAGCTCAACTGCCGCTTCAATGCCAGCAACCCCAGAGTGACCTGGGACCCAAATCAGAGAAACTCTGCTATCATTGTGTTTAAAGTTCTTTTAGAGTCATTAACCAGAACCGACGCTGTTTTCACGGCCTGCAGCGCCTGGAGAGCGGATTGACTGTGTGAGAAAAATCGTACCGTCTGTTCTTCACCCCTCTCTCAAGAAGAATTTTAGCACCCATCTCAATAGCAAATACTTCCACCTGAAATACAGTACAGTACATACCCAGGCTGTAAGCTTGTTTAATCCAAAGTGTCTGGCAGTATACTCCTGTCCCGACCCCTTTCAGCGTTTTTGACCCATCTGTGAACATACAAATTTCTGCCTGAAACTACTTTTATTATAGTTAATCTATTATATTGAACTAAAACTAGAACTAACACCAGCACCATAACCATCTAGAGAACTTCCAACTTACTGTTTTATTAAATGAATTACAAATATAAAGGAAATAAAAGATAAAACAACAACTGTTATTAATAAAGTATATTATTTTTATACTAGTTTCTTAAATATGCAAAAAATAATTTTAATTAATTAACATTTTAAATAAAACCAAGATGAAAAAGAATTTATAAAGATAGTTTTTTCTTGATATCAAGAATTAATTTACCATCAATTTTACTATTACTATTGCAAGGAATACGAAAAGACAAAGCAAATCTAGAAGATGTCTCAAAAAAGGTTTTGAACATAATTCGTTCAAGATGATTTTTCAAATATACAAGATAGGCACCAAGTTGAGATGCTTGAGATTTTCTTTGTTGAGATAATGGCCGTTTACCCCATTTAGATGTCTTTATGTTCCCAAAACAAAAAAGATAATAATAAGATAATAAAAAAAGAAAGAATTAAACCAAACCTTGTAAATGTTCATAAAATTTTCAGGAAAATTAAAATAATGTTGAAAACATTGTCCAATGCTTCTTGTACAAATTTTTTCTGGATCTTTTTCAGTTTTTTCTTGGATACTTATATCAGCACATAAAGTGTCAAAAATATTATTAAGATTAATGTTATGTTGGTTTTTAAGTATTCCCCAAGGTAATCTCGAGTCATGACAAACTTTTTTTATATGATTACTTTCTAAAATATCTTTCAAATCATTTGGAATTCCAAAAGATTGTATATCAAAAATATATACTTGATCCCAAGATGATATCACCAATAAACTCAGTGGATCAAATTTGTCATACGAATTTGTAATAGCAGCAATTCCCAGATTTTCGCAAGTCTTTAAATGTTTTATTGCTGAATAATAATTAACATCAATCATTGGAAGGTAAATGTAGTTTTTCGTCATTAATATTAAATCCTCATAATCCTCTTTGGGGATCGAAATTAACGTTTTGTTTGCTTCTATATAACATTCACCATTAGTTATTTCACCATTTTCTTGGGGTTTTTCTTTCACAACGCGTACAGATTTAATTTCCGACTGATAATATGAATATGGCCCTTTCGAAGAGTAATCAGATGAATAAATTTTTATGTTTATTAGATCCAAACGACTTTTACCCCCATTATAAAGCGTTCCTTCTAAGATATCACCATTTACTAACTCCACAACTAATTTAGATCCTCTTTTAAAGTTATAATCCGCTAAAGCAAGCATTTTTATAAAAGGTTTGTATTTAAAACATAACCTCAAATTTTGCGAATTATTTGAAATAAAATTAATGATTGTTTCTTTCGAATTTATAACTTTTAAAATGTGTTGTTTAGTTTGTAATAATTATATTAAATTTGATAATTGTTTATGAATAAAAACGCTTACAATAAAATGTTATCAACTTCATGATCAACACAAGCTAAAATTGGGTGACAAATTTTGATGTTAAAAAAAATTAAACTAAATTGATTATATTAAATATTATAGTTTTTTTAATTGTATTTGTATAAAATTACTTTATAAATATTATTATAAATAAAATTAAATAAATTATTTTGACATTCCGCCTAACTTCACGGTTATTATTGTCTTGTCACTTTACACGTTTTGAGTTAACCTCAAAACGCGCGGTTAATTTATTTAGTTAATTTTTGGTTTAATCATGCCTCCAAAATTCTCAAAATCCTCAGGTTTATGGGTGCATTGTGATACATGTTCCACTGCTTTTCTCCAAAAAGATGCCGAGCTACATACCACCGATTGTCCGCCTGACGACAAAAACCACACATACGATTACATTAAAGATTCCACCCTTGTTAGTACGTTAGACGTCAAGAGTAATGAAGATGTTAAATCAGTAACACAACTGGATAGAGATCATATGGTATTTATGAGCCAAAGCACCATACAGATTTGTGGATTTTCAATCGGACAATATGTAAGCATTAAATGTGATGGGTTAAAGTTTCCAATTGCCAGAATGGTGTGGCCTACAACTGAAAAAAATATAACAGCCGTTTTGTTAACAAAAAATGGTTAGGAATTAAACTTAATAATGTTTGTTTTTATGTATATGAATATATTTTTAGCTATGGATTTATTGGAACTAAAATCAAACTCAATAGTTTCAGTATCAAAGATAAATCCAATTTTTGATGCAAATACAGTAACCTTAATTTTATTAAATAACCAAAAATCGTTTGTTTTATGCACAGAATTACAAACAAGAATATCTAAAAGTTACGCTCACAAAGTGATAGCTAAAAATAATTTAATTACAATAGTATTTTATGGTAGATTACTTAGATTTGTTGTAAAAAGCATTCAATGTGATCCAATTCAATTTATTGAAGCTGAATTGGGCGAAATGTGTCTTGAGCATGACACTAATAGTCTGGTTTTTTATCAAATAACGGAAAAAACTCAATTTAAATTATTTAAAAGCGGTGCTGATTATCAAAAACAAGTAATTTTAAAAGACGCCATTGATGATGTAGGTGGATTAGATGACGAAATTGCGGAACTAAATGAATTAATCACAGTTGGATTAAATTTATCTGAAGTTACCATCAATTTTAGACCAACAAAAGCTTGTTTATTATACGGTAACTCAGGAACAGGAAAAACTTTATTAACTAAAGCCTTAACAAAAACAATAAAGGCTTATGTTGTCTCAATATCATCTAGTGATTTATACACGAAATATAGTACGAGTATTGAAGATAAATTGGATTCATCTTTTACTGAAGCTGACGAAAATGCTCCTAGTATTGTTATTTTTGATGAATTCGATATTTTATGTCCTTCAAAGCCTAGTAGGACCACAGACTCAGAAAAAAAAATTGTCTCTAAAGTTTTAACATTTTTTGATAGCATTATTGAAGGAGATAAACAAATTTTTATAATTGGAACTACAAATAAAATCGATTCTATTGATAATTGTTTTAGAAGGTGTGGTCGATTTGATAGAGAATTAGAAATTCCCACTCCAAACCCAATAAATCGGTAATAATATCTAAATACTATATAGGGCGCGTCATATGTAACCCTCCCCTGCCTAATTTAAAAACTGTTGGAGATAAAAATTTGGGGAAATCGCGGCGCGCGCATCATTGGAGGTGGGGCGTACCTCTTAGATTTCTCGCAGGATAGTTGACCAGATAAAAATCAACAGCCGCCAGACTGCTTATCGATATCCATACCATTCGTTATTTGCCTGGTTGTCTGTCCTGCCAGAAATCTAAGAGGTACGCCCCACCTACAAAGTTGCGCTCGCCGCAATTTTCTCGAATTTTTATTAATTAATATCATAAAAACTAATTAACCAATTTTTGTTTGCGAGGTATGAAAATATATCAAAATGTTATAACATATAGGGTGTTCCATTAAAAAAAACAAAGTTGATCCATTTTCTGGAAAAATTATAAGTGATAGACAATTTTTTCTGCAAAATTATTTGAGTTAACCAAAAATAAAAATCGACGTGTTTCGGCTCATGACGATATCTTCAGCCGTTTTCAAATTAGATAGATTTTATCTGTCGCGTAAAAACAGAATTAAGGGTATAACATCCATTTAAAATTAATTTTTAGTTTTCAAATTCTTAAAAAAATGTTAAAAAACGTCAAATTAATAATTGACGAAGAATCTTTAAAAAAAATTGCTTTCAATGCCCACGGATTTGTTGGAGCTGATCTCCAAGCTTTATGTTCAAGAGCAACTCTTCACGCTACTCGTTTCAATAGGAATGCTTTAGAAATGGAAGATTTTAATTTTGCTCTGACGAAAGTACGGCCAAGTGCGATGCGCGAAATCCAAATTGAGGTATTAATCCCCCTTCAAAAAAAAAGACACATTTGTTGTTTTTCTTTATTTTGGTCAACAAAATGTAGGTTTTAGGTACCTAATGTTCGTTGGTCAGATATTGGTGGACAAGATAATTTAAAATTGGTTCTTAAACAAGCCGTTGAATGGCCTTTGAAATATCCCGATTGTTTCGTTCGAATGGGAATAACTCCTCCAAGAGGTGTTTTAATGTTTGGCCCACCTGGTTGTTCAAAAACAATGATTGCCAAAGCTTTAGCAACTGAAAGTGGTTTGAATTTTATTTCGATTAAAGGACCGGAATTATTTAGCAAGTGGGTTGGAGAATCTGAAAGAGCGGTTAGAGAAGTTTTTAGAAAAGCAAGACAAGTTGCCCCTTCTATTATATTTTTTGATGAAATCGATGCTTTGGGTGGTGAAAGATCCGGCAGTTCTTCGACGAATGTTCAAGAAAGAGTTTTAGCCCAATTATTAACAGAATTAGACGGTGTAACTCCTTTAGGAGATGTTACCGTTATCGCCGCTACGAACCGACCAGATCGAATTGATAAAGCGTTGTTAAGACCAGGAAGATTAGATCGACTAGTTCTTGTACCTTTACCAGATGAAACAACTCGAAAAGAAATTTTTAAATTAAAATTAGCAAAAATGCCTGTAAGATCAATCCAAATTTATTTTTAACATTTATGTTATAATTAATTTCCGTAGGTTTCACAAGTGTATATTGCGGTTTTAGTTGAAAAAACTGTCAATTATACTTGCGCTGAAATTGTTGCTGTTTGTCATGAAGCTGCAATGGCTGCTTTGGAAGAAAGTTTAAACGCTCAAGAAGTAACAATGAAACATTTTTATAAAGCTCTTGAAATAATAACACCTAGAACTCCAGATAGTTTATTGGCAATATATGATGATTATTATTTAAAATATCGTCAGTATAAATAATTTTATATCTTCATATAAATGGATAACTTTGGAAATAAAATGTATCTGTTAAAGTTTTAGATTTATGATCAATGTTTTTTCAACTAATTGATAAAATCTCTGAAAGTATCAAGCACTTAGTATTAAAACTTTTTGTATGATAATTAAAATTAAATATCTAATCTTTGATACAACAGCATTCTACACTTTGTCATATAAAACCTCTATCCTTTCCAGACAATTTTTATTATACAGTGCGTCTGTAATGTAGGGGATATAGTCGATAAAAACGGTTTATGGAAAAATCCCTGAAACAAGGAAAAGTATTTGGCTTGTAGTGGTAAAAGAAACAACAAACTTTACTAAATCAGTTTTTGACGATTAGGAAATTGCTTAAAATAATTAATTGGATTGCGTTGGGTTGGTTTTATGGATTGTGTTCTTCGATCAAATATTTGAAGTGCAAGAAAACCCTGAGAATGTTAAATTGATCATACCCAGGCGACTTAGAGGTTATGGTTAATGAATGGAAAATCGAGGAGATTGCAAGGACGGTAGAAATTAAGAGGATAGCTACATACTTTGCTCTTTTGTAGTCCACTCCGTCACACCACGTGCCACGCATGGTTATATCAAACTCAACCCCTATGGAATTAATGGCCAAACAGAAAATGTTTTATAAAAGATAACCGGACTGCCATAGAGCAGGAAATAATGGAGGGGCTAAGGAGACAGGAAAGTTTTAGTCGGTCAGCAACCCAAGTGGGAAGCCAACCCGACGCTACCTTCATGACAACTTAGGTTGGATGTCTGATCGCAGATTTTCTAATCCCGTCTATAAAAAAAGGTTGGGTTGGGTTAGGTTGAGTTGACTTGGGTTGGGTATAGTATACAATATGCTAGATACCTAGGAGTGTATATCAATAAAGACATGACAATAACGAATCATGTTAGAGATATTACAAATAAAGCGTTCTACATGTCGAATTTACTGAGAAGACTGATGCCACATTTAGTGGGACCAAGAGAAGGCTGATGGCCTTGGCGGCCGTGTCAGTAATGTATGCGGCACCAATATGGAGACATGTCCTGAGATATAATAGATACGTAGCGATGCTTAGAGCTGTGAACAGAAAACTAGCACTGGGGATTACATCCGCTCACCGCACGGTTTCTGCCGAAGGAGCGGAGGTTATTGCGGGGATGCCACCTATGGACTTACTGGTGGAGGAGAGAAGTCTGCTATATGAAAAAGAGAAAGAGTCCGCCTCAGACCTGAAGAAAGGAACTGTCAAGATCTGGACGGAAAGATGAAATAAGTTTGGTGGTTGGAGCAGGACAATGATCCCAAACATAGCGGACTGGATAGATAGAAAATGGGGAGAGACAGACTTCTATTTAACGCAGGTTCTGACAGCACATGAAAACTTTATGACGTACCTTCAGAAGATCGGGAAGTTAGAGTCGGTCGGGTGCTGGTTTTGCGGTCAATACGACACTCCGGGCCACACACTTTTCAAGTGTGAAGAGTTTACAGCAACAAGGGAGGAGTGTGAAAGACAATGTGGAAACGTAATAAACGTGACTAACATTGTAGAGTGCATGCTAGAAAGCGAGGTAAAGTGGGACGCGATAAAGAAGATGGTGACGGAGATAATGAGGAAAAAGGAAGAATATGATAGAGGGCTGGAGAGACAGAGGGTTAGTAAGTGATGATACTCTGGACGTAGAAGGAAATGAGGAGAGGGGGAGATAGGTATACCTGCCCTTCGATCAAGTATGTTGTTTATTAATAATGTATAGTTATAAAAGTTAACAGAATTATATGTATGATTGATGTCCATGAAACATAGCGACGAGAGAACGGAGGGGAACTTGAAGGTGTAGATGAGGGTAATGCCGATATTGTGCGACTGGGTACGTTAGGCAAAAATATTAATAGATTACAAGTTATCAGTATGGTCGATGGTTTTGTCTATGTTTTTGGTGGGCATGGAACGGTTTGAGGAAAGGATGGACGGCGGGAAATTGACAGGTGAGAATCAGGAAGAACAAGAGAGCGAGGACGGAAGGATGGCGGCGAGAAGACCGATAGCGAGCGTCACTACCCGGTCTATAAGATCTAGGGCCGGGTGTCTGCTCATAGATTCCTCTATTTCTAGATCGCCTCTATAAAAAAAAGGTTCGGTTGGGTAGGGTTGTGTTCGTGTACATTTTCTTCTAGTATTCTTATTACTTTCTGCTCAGTGTATTTCTTATAGTTTCAATATCTGCTCAGTTCTATTCTTCTATAATCAGGTTTTTCCCAGTCTTCCTCCTTTCTGCCCAGTCTGTTTCTTCCCTTTTCATCTTCTTTATTTTATAACCTTCTATCTATTTCTTCTCTTACCAATCTCTTTCCAGTCATCCTCCTTTCTATCAAGTCTCTCTTTTCTTACCAGTCATCATTTCTTTCTGCCCAGTCTATGTCTTATATTATCAGCTTAAGAGAGTATCCTTACTTCCTGTTCGGTATACTTTTTGTCGTTCCAGTGTCTATTCAGCCTCTTTCTTCTATCAATAGTCTCGTTTCAGTCTTTCTTCCTTCTCCTATCCATTGTATTTCCTTTATTATCGACCTCTCAATCTCCCTCTTCTCTGCCCAGTCTATATTTCACGTCATAAAAAATTTAAACCCATTTCAGGGATTTTTTCCGTAAAGTTTTTATAATGTTTTTATCGCCTACTTTACAGATGCCTGTATACTTTTCCTTATTCTCAAGGAAAATGCTTATAAATTTAATTTGGTTGCTAAGGAAAAAGTTTGATCGTTTATGGTGTCATTATGATACTCGCTGTCATTTCTATAAATTTCTCTTTTTAATTTAACAGAGAAATACATTTTTAAAAAATGAATGCTCAAGGTGTAAATCTAAGAAAATGTCTCAGTCGCGCAAAAAAAGATGGATCATTTCACTCGAATTTAGATTTTACTCAAGCGAGTGAAGAAGTTAAACAGGAATATAACATCACGGAACAGAAACGACAACAATTGGTTAATTTTCTCCATAAAAGCATAGAAAATACGAAAATTAAAGAATTCAAAACGAAAGTGAAACCGGAATATCCAAAAATAATAAGGAAAAATCGATCGCATAAAAAGATGAGGAAATTTGCCCAAGAATTACCAACGAGTAGAATGACTAAGTATTTACATGCTGCTATTATGACAGCTGTTGGAGTTCCCAATTTGGCTAAAGCTTGGCCGGAAATGTTGAAACAAGTTATGGATGAGGTTGAAATAGAATTCTTTAATATAACTCATGAGGTAAATGTGATAATAACTGTTAATTTTTTGAATAATTTTGTTATGATGAATAGGTTGGTGTGAATTGTAAAGTTCGTCCCGTCGATGGATCAGATCCACATATTCATCTAGCACCAAACAAATTTTTTGGAAGAACCGCACGATATGATGTTTATTTATTACATAGATCACGTTTAGAAAAAAAAATGTTCATATCTTATCCGCTAATGAGGAGAATATTAAATCAATGTGTAATAGTTATGCCAGATATTTTGATCAATTTTACAAAATTCCGTGACCACGCATATGAAATGCCCGATTTAATCCAATTAATCGAAGAAGAAATAAAAGTAGGAACAAAATTATTTCATACTTTTCATACAAGGGTGCTGAGTATTTCAGCTTCCGACAATACAAAATTTACAGATAGTAGATCTAGGTTGCATTATTGGAGAACAGGAACCTATATTATATCATCTAATTTCACTAGAGTAATATTAAACACAATTAATCATATCATAGAGGTAACCGGAGATGATGATCATATCCCGTTTCTAAAACTTTATCTTCAATACGATAAAAGATTAACTTTATACCCTTCAATGCGGGATACATTAGAATGTTACATGAAAATAATTGAAACTATTTCAACAATACCAAACGGATTAAGCTCATTGGAAAGCAATTTTTGTCCACATATGCCTGAAACATCAATTCCAATTTTTATTGAACCCAATTACTTCATTGAAGCAGAAAGAAAAATAAGAGAAAATTTAGCAATAAAATTCGCACCAGTTGAAAAATATCTTCACAAACTCGAACAAAGCTACGCCGATTGTTATGGCGACGAACTAGATGGTGGTGAAAACGAAATGGGTGAAGGTGAAGAATTTAATTTTGAGGATGGTTATGCAAAAATTGATTTTTATCAAAGTTTTATAAATCGAATTTCCGATATGGTAACTAGCGAATATTATTCAATCGGCCAATTAGAACAAGAAGAATGCAAAGCGAATATAAAAGCTTCTATAAATGCATTAATTGATGATGTTGCTGGGAAATTAGCTCTTCAACACGAATGGGAAAATCGAGATATCTGCGAAGTTTTTGAAATGTTAGCTCAAAAAGCTTTACACCGTCCAACTACAACAGCGGAATTAATGGAAATGGGTGTTTATATGACTTGGGCAAATACAGAATTAATGTTAGCATTAACAGAACGAATTCAATTATCTCTTCATGTAATTACGAAGTTAATGGATGTAACAACGATCACCGAAGAACATATTCAATTAAATGCTGATACTGTTTTATGGTTAACTAAAATTAAACCATTTTTAGAACACAATTCAGCAATGTACGAAACGGTTAAATTTGAATTTGAAGAACGTCTTCAAAGAGCCGTTATAAAAATTAATGAAGAAATAGCTGGAATGGAACCGTATTTAGTTGTTTTGAATGATATGGATGATTGTGATAATGCCTCCGAATATGTTTTTCATATTAACAAACTTTTGGTGAGAATAAGAAGTTGTGACGAACAAAAAGAATGGATTAATTCAGAAGAAAAAACATTTAAATTTCCTATTTCACCATTCCAAGGATTAGAAGAATTAAAAAAATATATTTATCCATTTTTTCGATTAGTTAAAGTGTGTCAATATTGGAGAAGAAGTTATAATGCATGGATGGACGGACCGTTTGAATTTTTAGATCACGAGTCTGCCGAGGAAATTGTTGATGGATATTTTAAGGAATTAATTAAAACGCAAAAGACTTATAGAATTAAATTGCGCGTCTTAGCGGCTGAAGGTAATCCAAGAACTTTTAAAGGATCAACTGATGATCCGGATCCAATGAATTATCCGGCACCTATGAAATTATGTCAAAAAGCTTTGGATCAAATCAAAGATTTTCGACCTTGCTTAACTTTAATGGATGTAATGTGTCAAAAGGCTTTATTACCAAGGCATTGGGCAGAAATGAGTCTTATTGCTGGTTTTGATTTGACACCAACAGCTGGAACAACTTTAAGAAAATTATTCGAATTGAATTTAATGGATAATATTGATAATTATGAAATTATTAGCAGTGGTGCTTTAAAAGAACAACAGTTATTGGAAAGTTTAATAAAAATGCAAGGAGAATGGGATGGTGTTATATTCAAAACAAGTGTTTATAAAGATACAGGAATTTCTATATTAAGTGGATTAGATGATATCCAAGCAATTCTAGATGATCATATTATGAAAACTTTAACGATGAGAGGATCTGTGTTTGTAAAACCTTATGAAGATCAAGTAAGAGCTTGGTATGAAAAAATAACAAGAATTAATGATACTGTTGACGTTTGGGGAAAAGTTCAAGTTCAATGGTTATACTTACTTCCGATCTTTTCTTCGAAAGACATCATAGCTCAGATGCCTAATGAAGGCGTACTTTTTCGTGAAGTCGACGCTACTTATCGAAGATACATGGCAGGTGTAGCTAAAGATCCTAGAGTTGTAGAAACAGCTGGATCTGTTGGATTATTAGAAGCAATGCAAAATTGTATCGAATTGCTAGATAAAATTAACGATGGCGTTACTTCATACCTGGAAAAGAAAAGGTTATACTTTCCCAGATTTTTCTTTTTATCCAACGACGAAATGTTGGAGATTCTTTCCGAAACCAAAGATCCATTACGGGTTCAACCACATCTCCGAAAATGTTTCGAAGCGATTAATCGATTAGAGTTCGATGAAAGTTTAAAAATTCACGCCATGTTTAGTCAAGAAAATGAAAGAATTCCTTTTAACGAATTGGTTAACGTAGCCGAAGCTGGTGGAAGCGTTGAAAAATGGCTTTTACTAGTCGAAGCACAAATGTTAGTATCTGTTCTAGAGACTATTGGAAATAGTTATAAAGATTATAGAACGAAAGCACGAACCGATTGGGTTGTTTTATGGCCCGGACAAGTTGTTTTAGCCGTTTCGCAAATTTATTGGACTATGCATGTTCATTCGGCTTTAAATCCTCAAGATACTACTTTACATTTGGTTGATTTCGTTCAAACTTTAAAAAATGATTTACAAGATATCGTAATGTTGGTAAGTTTTAAAAATAATCTTTAATCGCCCAGTGGCGTAGCTAACGGTACATTAATGGTATTGTAAAAATTCAATAATTATTCTTTTTTTAGATTCGAAATCCCAAATTATCAAATTTAAATCGAATCACAATCAAAGCATTAATTGTAATCGACGTCCACGCAAAAGACGTTGTTCAAGAACTTTACAATAAAAAAGTTGATAATGATAACGAGTTTAAATGGTTAGCTCAATTAAGATATTATTGGGAAGAAGATCTATGTTTAGCAAGAATAGTTAACGCAACGGTTCGATATGCTTGTGAATACTTGGGAAATTCTGATAGACTCGTTATAACTCCTTTAACCGATCGTTGTTATCGAACTTTAGTAGGTGCTTATCATTTACATCTTAATGGAGCACCAGAAGGACCAGCCGGAACGGGCAAAACTGAAACAACCAAAGATTTAGCAAAAGCACTCGCGGTTCAATGTGTTGTATTTAATTGTTCTGATGGCTTAGATTATAAAGCGATGGGAAAGTTCTTTAAAGGTTTAGCTTCTTCGGGTGCTTGGGCTTGTTTTGATGAATTCAATAGGATTGAAATTGAAGTCTTATCAGTGGTTGCTCAACAAATCTTATCGATCGTTATGGCTGTTCGAGGACATGTCAAAAAATTCTTGTTCGAAGGCACCGAATTGACTTTAAATCCAGCTTGTTACGTTTGTATCACAATGAATCCTGGTTATGCTGGACGAAGTGAACTTCCCGATAATTTAAAAGTTCTTTTTAGAACTGTTGCTATGATGGTTCCAGATTATGCAATGATTGGCGAGATTTCTTTATATTCTTATGGATTTTCTGATGCGAGAACATTATCAGTTAAAATTGTCACAACATACAGATTGTGTTCTGAACAACTTTCCTCGCAAAATCACTACGATTACGGAATGCGCGCTGTTAAATCCGTTTTATCGGCCGCTGGCAACAACAAGAGAAATTACCCCGACGAAAACGAAGATATCATTTTATTACGTTCAATAACGGATGTTAATTTACCGAAATTTCTAAACCACGATGTTCCACTTTTCAATGGAATTATCTCGGATTTATTTCCAGGATTAAGTCTTCCTCAAGCCGATTATAGAATCTTTATTAAATGCATGAAAATCGCTTGTTCGGAGCGAAATCTTCAACCTAGAGATTCGGTAATTGTTAAAGTTATACAAACATACGAAATGATGATTGTTCGTCATGGATTTATGATGGTTGGTGATCCACTATCGGGAAAAACAAACACTTTAAAAGTTTTAGCGGATGCTTTGGGAATGATGAATGTGCAGGGTTTAAACGAATTAAAAGTAAAGTATCAATTTATTAATCCAAAAAGTATAACAATGGGACAACTTTATGGATGTTTCGATCCGGTTTCATACGAGTGGACCGATGGTGTAGTTGCCACGTGTTTTAGAAGATTTGTAGTGGATACATGTCCCGATAGAAAGTGGGTTATTTTTGATGGACCTGTTGACGCTGTTTGGATAGAAAACATGAACACCGTTTTAGATGATAATAAAAAATTGTGTTTGATGTCCGGTGAAGTTATGACAATGACTAACGTAATGTCCATGATTTTTGAGGTAGCTGATTTAGCACAAGCTTCGCCAGCAACAGTATCTAGATGCGGAATGATTTATATGGAGTCGGATACTTTGGGTTGGACACCATTTTTCGAATCTTGGTTAGTCAATTTAAATCCGTTGTGGTTTAACGAAAACACTAGAGATTTAATTATCGATATGTTTAAATTTACCGTGCCAGATTCGCTTTGGTTTATACGAAAACACTCGAAGGCCGTTTGCGTTGTCGGCCCACTAATTTTGGTACGAAGTTGTTTTAAAATCTTTGAATTAACTATGAATGAAGTAGTTACTTCAGCTGATGATATAAAGTTCTTTCCAACGTGGTTGGTTTCCGCTTTTATGTATGCAATGGTGTGGGGATTGGGCGGAATTATGGATAAAGATTCACGTGAACAATACGATGAGCTTCTAAGAAATTTATGGAATAAAGATGGGGATTCCGTATTCCCGGAAAGTTTTGAATTTCTTGATATAAATTTACCTAAGGAAGGTTTATTAATTGATTACGCTTATAATTATAAATTAAAAGGATCTTGGAAATATTGGCCTGAAATGGTTAAAGGTATGAGGGTTGAGAATGCTAATAATATTCAACAAGCTTTAATTCCAACAGTTGATACAGTTAAATATATGCAATTAGCTGATTCTCATATTAAAGCTAAAATACCATTTTTGTTTGTTGGGCCAACTGGAACAGGGAAAAGTTTTTATTTGCAGGATTTGCTCATGAATCAATTAAATCAAGATTTGTATGAACCAGCTTTCATCACGTTTACAGTGAAGATATCAGCTAATCAAACTCAAGATTTAGTTATTTCAAAATTAAATAAACGCAAACGTGGTACTTATGGACCGCCAAGAGGGAAAACTGCAATCATATTTTTTGATGATCTTAATATGCCTGTTAAAGAAGTTTATGGTGCTCAACCTCCTATTGAGTTATTGCGCCAATATTTTGACCATAAAAATTGGTATGATCTTCATGATACCTCACCAATTTATTTAGTTGATATATTAATAATAGCTGCTATGGGATTGGTGGGTGGAAGTCGTCAAGAAATTTACTCAAGATTCTTAAGACATTTTAGTGTTTTCTCTATAAACGATTTTTCCGATGAATCAATGGTTAAAATCTACACTAACGTCCTTTTATTAGGTTTAAAAAAAAATGGTTTTCCATCAGACGTAATTTTACAAGCCCAACAAATTGTTAACGCAACATTAGATTTTTATCAATTTGCAATGAGAACCTTGAGACCAACTCCAGCAAAAAGTCATTATGTTTTCAATTTACGTGATTTCTCTCGAGTTGTGTTCGGTTGTGCCATGATTAGAAAAGAATCAGCGGAAGATAAACAAACATTTGCGCGCCTTTGGGTGCATGAAATATTAAGAGTTTTTTACGATCGTTTAATTGAAGCTTCCGACAAAACATTATTGTTCGACAAATTGCGTTTAAGCGTTAAAGATTATTTTAAAGATCCTTTCGATATGGTTTTTGACCGTTTTGAAAAAGATAAGGATGGAAAAGTTTTAGAATCCAGTTTAATCGATTTAATGTTTGGGACTTATTTAGATCTTGATGCCTCAGAAGACGAAATTCGCTACGAAGAGATAGTAAATAAAGAAACATTTTTTAATATTGCAATGATGTGTCTTGATGATTACAACTCAACGCATAAAACTAAAATGGATATAGTTTTGTTTAATTACGCTTTGGAGCATTTATCGAAGATTTGTAGGATACTTTCTATTCCAAGTGGTTGTGCTTTATTGGTTGGAGTTTCTGGTTCTGGAAGACAATCTTTGACTAAGTTGGGAACTGGTATTTGTCAATATACGTTTTTCCAACCGGAAATAAGTAAAAATTATGGTATGACGGAATGGAGAGAAGATTTAAAAAAAGTTTTGAAAGAATCTGGTGGGAGAGGAAAAAATACAACGTTTTTATTCACCGAAGGGCAAATAAAAGAAGAAGGATTTTTATCGGATATAGATGGTTTATTAAATTCCGGTGAGGTCCCAAACATTTTCCCCATAGATGAGAAACAAGAAGTTATGGAACTGGTGCGATTAGCCGCTCAAGGAGGCAACAGAAACTTAGATATTAGCAGCTTAGCTGTTTTTTCGTTCTTTATTAAACGTTGCAAAGAAAAGCTCCATATAATACTTTGCTTTAGTCCAATCGGTTCCTCATTTAGAGTGAGATTAAGATTATTTCCCGCCTTAGTAAACTGTTGCACGATCGATTGGTTTGAAGATTGGCCAGAAGACGCTTTAGAAATGGTCGCTCACAGTTGGATAGGTGACATAAACGCGCCAGATGAAATTAAAAATTCTTCCGTTATTGCGTGTAAACATTTCCACGTAATCGCCAGAACCGTCTCCGAAGAATTTTATCGCGTCACCTCCAGAAAAATATACGTAACGTCAAATTCATATTTAGAACTCATCAAATCTTTTACAGCATTAACAAACTCGAAACAAAAGGAAATTATGAAATTCAAACGCAGATATGTAGTCGGATTAGAAAAGCTTATTTTCGCAGCCGGTCAAGTATCTCAAATGCAAGTAAATTTAGAATCTTTACAGCCGGAATTAAAAACGTTAAGTGCTAAAGCAATGGCTATGACTAGAGAAATCGAAACTGAAACCGTAACCGTTGAGAAAGCTTCGGCTTTAGTAAAAAAGGACGAAGAAGCCGCAAATATTCAAGCAGCCTCTGCTCAAGCTTTAAAAGCTGAGTGTGAAGCTGAATTAGCTTTAGCTATTCCGGTATTAGAAGAAGCAATAGGTGCTTTAAACACTCTAAAACCTGCCGATATAACTTTAGTAAAAGCCATGAAAAACCCCCCAGAAGCTGTTAAAGTTGTACTGGCAGCAGTTTGTGTTATGAAAGAAGTTAAACCGGATCGAATAAACGATCCTTCAGGAACCGGGGGGAAAATTCTTGATTATTGGGGACCCAGTAAAAGAATTTTAGGCGATATGAACTTTTTACAAGCTTTAAAAGATTTTGATAAAGACAATATTAAAGTAGAAACAATGGCGATAATTCGAAAAACTTACCTGCCTCACCCTTTATTCAAACCGAACATTGTCGCGAAAGCTTCAAGTGCAGCTGAAGGTTTATGTAAATGGATAATAGCCATGGATATGTACGATAAAGTAGCTAAAGAAGTTGCCCCTAAAAAAGCGAAATTAGACATAGCCGAAAGGGAATATTCAGCTACAATGAAAATTTTAAACGAAAAAAAATCTATGGTAGAAGCATTAGAAGCGAAATTAGCGCATTTAAATGAGCTGCTTACAGAAGCTATGAATAAACAAAAAGAACTTCAAGACAACGTCGATTTGTGTGCAATGAAACTTTATAGGGCGACTAAATTAATTGGTGGATTAGGAGGTGAAAAGAGCCGATGGACAGAAGCAGCTAATAATCTCCAAGTTTTATATGATTCATTAGCTGGTGATATTTTAATTTGTTGCGGAATGATTGCGTATTTATCAGCAATGACAATGCAATATCGTCAAAGTACCATTGCAGAATGGCGCCAATATGTTAAAGACGTCAACATTCCCTGCAGTGCACAATTTGATTTTGTCAGCATATTAGGAGTAGATATTAAAATACAAAATTGGAATATTTATGGATTACCCCGAGATGCGTTTTCAATCGAAAATGGAATTATTCAAGATGTTTCAAGAAGATGGTCTTTATTAGTTGATCCACAGAGCCAAGCAAATTTGTGGATTAAAAAATTGGAGAAAGCAAACGATCTTCAAATAAGTAAGTTTAGCGATCCAAATTATATGAAAATAATGCAACAATGTATTCAACTTGGAAAGCCTTGTTTATTAGAAAACATTCAAGAAGATTTAGAAGCACCGTTAGATCCGGTGCTTTATAAATCAACATTTATGCAAGCCGGACTAACAGTTATTGCTTTGGGTGAAAACGTCGTCCCTTACAACGCAAATTTTAGACTATATTTAACATCGAAATTGCGAAACCCTCATTATCTTCCCGAAGTTTTTAACAAAGTAACCATAATTAACTTTGTATTAACATTAACTGGTTTACAAGATCAATTATTGGGAATCGTTGTAACTAAAGAAAGACCAGATCTTCAAAAGCAACGCGAAGAACTTGTTATTCAAAGCGCTCAAAATAAAGCCTCATTAAAAATGGTTGAAGATACGATTCTAAAAACTTTATCCGAATCACAAGGTGATATTTTAGAAGATTCAAGTGCAATTGAAGTTTTAGATTTTTCAAAAGCTTTGGCTGTTGATATTTTAGCTAAACAAAAAATTGCAGCTGAAACTGAGAAGATGATTGAAGGATTTCGATTGGCTTATACACCTATTGCTGAACATTCAGCGGTGTTATATTATTGTATATCAGATTTACCAAACGTTGATCCAATGTATCAATATTCTTTAGGATGGTTTATTAATTTGTATGTAAGCTCGATCGAAACTGCAAATAAATCGAGGGATTTACAAAAAAGATTATTTTTTTTAAAAGAAGCTTTTACCTACAATTTATATTCAAATATTTGTCGATCATTATTTGAAAAAGATAAATTAATGTTTTCGTTTATTTTATGCACAAAAATAATGATGAGTCAAGATCAACTTAACGAAATTGAATTTGGATTTTTACTCACTGGGGGTATTCAAGTTGAAAATCCTTACCCAAATCCGAGTGATGGTTGGTTAAATGACAAATCGTGGAATGAAATTTGTAGAGTAAGCGATATAAAAGCTTTCGCTGGATTTAAGGACTCTTTTAAATCACAATTAAAAGCTTGGCAAAATTTATACGATATGATCGAACCGCAAGAGTCTCCAATTCCAGAACCATGGGACTCGAAGTTAACTCCATTTCAAAAATTAATTATTATCAGATTATTAAGACCGGATAAAATTACCGTTAGCATAAATAAATTTATTAAGAATGAATTGGGCGTTAAATTTACGATCCCACCACCGTTTGATATCGCGAAATCATTCGATGACGCATCATGTCTGTGCCCTCTTATATTTATTTTGTCAGCTGGAACCGATCCGATGGCCGCTTTAGTAAAATTCGCCGAGGTCAAAGGATACCAAGAAATGTTTCAATCGATAAGTTTGGGCCAAGGTCAAGGACCGATTGCCCAAGCGATGATAGAACAAGCGCAAGCGGAAGGAGGATGGGTTTGCCTCCAAAACTGCCATTTAGCTGTCAGTTGGATGGGGAGTCTTGAGAAATTATGGGAAGCGATGGACGCTACAAACACCGATGATAATTTCCGTTTATGGTTAACGAGTTATCCTTCGCCACAATTTCCAATTTCGATGCTTCAGTTTGGTGTTAAAATGACTAACGAACCACCAACAGGACTTCAACAAAATTTATTAAGATCTTATTTAAATGAACCGGTAAAAAATCCTGATTTTTATGTTGGATGTCCGGGTAGAGAAGCTATGTTTTGTAGACTTCTATATGCCACAGCATTCTTTCATGCTGTTATACAAGAAAGAAGAACTTTTGGTCCTTTAGGATGGAATATTCCCTATGGCTTTAATGAATCTGATTTCGATATTTCAGTGCAACAGTTACAAATGTTTATCAATGAATACCCTGATAATGCTTATGAGGCTGTTTCTTATTTGACCGGTGAATGTAATTATGGTGGAAGAGTAACTGACGATTGGGATAGAAGATTGATTGTAACCATTTTGGACGATTTTATTAACGCGCGCGTTGTTAATGACATGAATTATTCGTTTAGTTCAGCTGGAACTTGTTATGTATTACCAAGAAAGAACGAATATGCTCATTACATTGAACATATCAATGGTTTACCATCATTTCATCCACCTGAAGTGTTTGGTTTACATAATAATGCGGGTATCACTCGAGATTTACAAGTTTCTAATTTGCTTTTGGATTCAATGATTAAAGTTGAAGGTGAAGGTTCCGGTGGGGGTGGTGAAACGGATTCCTTACTTATTCAACTTACTGGAGATATTTTAGAAAAATTACCTGACATTTTCGATATGGATGCAGCTCATGCAAAATATCCTGTAGTTTATCAAGAAAGTATGAACACCGTTTTGGTACAAGAAATGGAAAGGTTTAACAAACTTTTAATAGTGATCAGAAAAAGTTTACAAGATATACAAAAAGCTATTAAAGGACTTATAACCATGTCTAACGATCTTGAGGTTTTACAAAATTCTCTTCTTTTGGGTAGAATTCCAGCTATTTGGGCTAAAGTTTCTTATCCAAGTTTAAAATCACTTCCAAATTATATAAATGATTTTGTCGAAAGATTAGATTTTTTACAATTATGGTTTGACGTAGGAAAACCCAAAACTTTTTGGTTATCGGGATTTTTCTTCACTCAAGCATTTTTAACCGGGGCCAAACAAAATTATGCAAGAAAATTCGCAATACCCATCGATCAATTAATATTCGATTTTGAAGTTTTAAGAAATGATAATATCGCTGAAGCGCCAGCCGACGGCGTTGACGTTTATGGTCTTTACACTGATGGAGCTAAATGGGATCGGCAAAAAAATATTTTAGCAGAGCTTTTACCGAAGATTTTATATGACGTATTACCACTCACATGGGTTTATCCAATTAAAGATTGTGAATATAATGAAACGGGAAGATACAAGTCTCCTTTATATAAAACTTCAGAAAGAAGAGGCATTTTATCGACAACAGGTCATTCAACAAATTATGTTTTACCACTTTTACTTCCAACGGATAAACCTCAATCACATTGGATTAAAAGAAGTGTTGCACTATTATGTCAACTAAATTAGAAAATATTTTATTTTTATTAATTTGTATTTTAACAATTTTTTTAATATTTTTATAATAATTTTAAATAAATGTGGAACAAAAATTTTATTTAATCTATTTCTTTTTATTATCGTTAAATAATTAAACTAAATAATACTTGAATAACTTCTTTTTTAATAAATTTATGATATCTTGAACTTAATCGGTAGAGATTATCCAAAAGTTCTGTCAAATTCGTGTCAAAAGAGATCTCAATGTAGAAACTGTCCATTGCGAGCATATTTAAAACAACGATTACCTCGTTGATGATTTTGCCATTCGTACCATTAAGTTAGACTTACAAAAAGCAGCCAGATTGAGAAGAGCCACAAGGCTGGAATGAACCAAGACAAGAGGATGTCGCAATTCCATTCACCACCCCAAAAGAAGTTTTGGAAGAAATCAAAACGAATATTAATCCAAAGAAAGCACCAAGATTCGATCAAACCACAGGAGAAATTCTTAAACAGCTCCCAAAGCAAGCAATAGTAAAACTGACTTATCTTATTAACGCTACATTTACATTAAGATATGTTAGATATGATGTGGAAAATAGCGGAAGTAATAATGATTCCTAATTGAAATTATTTGAAAAGCTATTTTTTAAAAGATAATCCCTTCGCAAATATTCGGGTTCAGAGAAAGGCACTATACAATAGACTAGATACACAGGATTACAAATGTTATTGAAAAGTCTTTAGAGGGAGAGGAATATTTCTAGATGTAGCCCAGGCTTTTAATAAAGTCTGGCACGAAGGCTTACTTCATAAATTCAATAAAATTTTGCCACAACAACACTCTCAATTGATAAAATCATATCTTACAGGAAGATATTTTAGAATAAAGCAGGAGGAGGCCTATTCTAACTTAAGGAAGATCCAGGTTGGAGTGCCAAAAGCTTGGCTCATAGTACTCTACTTGTTATACACTAGTGATATTCCTAATCTTGAATAGAACACCTTTGCAACTTTTGCAGATGAGACAGCTATCATTTCAATAGGAAAAAATCATGGACCAGAACTTGGGATATCAAGTTGAATGAAAGCAAGACTTCACCAACAAATTAAAACATATACTCATCAGAATAAATGATGCGACATGCTAACTCGGCGAAATACCTGGGCATGATCTTAGACGCAAGTCAATGCTGGAAAAGCCTATGTGAAAAGAAGAGTTTAATCTGAAATATAGAAAAATGTACTGGTTGCTTGGAAGGAACTTCAAGTTACCCATCCACAATAAACTGCTCCTTTATAACCAACTACTAAAGCCTGTATGGTTATACGACCTACAACTTTTGGGGTGTCTTAGTAAAAGTAATATTCAAATCATTCAACGACTACAATACAAAGCACTGAGAGATATGGCCGATGTACCTTGGTGTTTCCGCAACTGTGATCTCCACAAGAACCTTGAAATAGAGACAGTTAATCAAATAATTCCCAAAAACTCGCAGAACGTCATTAACAACGACTTTTCCAACACATGAATGCTGAAGAACTCTATCTCCTCGACAACACCAATTTGACAAGAAGATTGAAAAGGACTAAACCCTACTTGTGCAGTGGTTACATGTTAAAATTAGTGTAGTTCAATTATCAGAACCTGAGGTGACCTATTGATCAGAACCTTGGTTAAGTTTGAACCCGTAGTAATTTAGGATAGAATCAAATTATTCATTGATCAATAGCGATCAGATTATAATATTAATAATAAAAAAAGTAGAAATTATTAAATTGTTTACTCAATTTATTTTGATCCCATTTTTATTTTACCGTAAAATACTTATTTTCTTTGAAAGACAGCTCTTGTCGAGTATTCAAATAAATTATGAATCATTCAATCGTCGAACAAGTCTCAACAAAACCTACAAAGATCACACGCGAGTGTCCAAGTTGACGCGCTTCGCAATCTAATTAGTTGTTGTTTCACGAAAGCTTTCATGGAAAAACGAATCGATGTTATCGATTACATTCAGAGGCGGCGTAATTTCTTTGCAGGCCGTTCAGCTTTAACAGTAAAAGCTTTCAAACGGGAGTTTCAGTAAAGCTTTGGACGCCAAAGCACGCGGAGTTCGGTGTATTTTTAATCCGACGTACGAACGCGAAAACTTTTTAGAAATATGGACTTGTTTTGAGAATGCAGTGCGATGAACAGTCTTCCACCGATTTTGTTTCAACGGATATTAATCAACATTTAACTTCAATTGAAGAAACAAATTTTAATAATAAGATTTGTTTAACTCAATTATGGGAATATGTTATTAAACATAAAAAACTTCCAGGTAAAGTTTTAAAATTTCAATAATTTTTTGATTATTCTTTTCTTTTTTGATTTATTTAGAAAACTTAGATGCTTCGATTTTTTTTAATCTTGTAACTCAGAAGTTAAGAAATCCGGAATGGGAAGTTCGCCAACATTCTCTTAGAGTTTTGATAGATATCATTCCCGTAATAAAAATTGAAGAATTAGATGCTAATATTGATGAAACTTTGAACGAAATCGTTCGGAACTTGGGTCATATTGGACCGGCAGTTCGAAAAGCGGCAATAGATGCTCTAAAAACTTATGTAAATCACACAAGTAAACCCACTTTAATAATTCGAGAACTGATTCATAAAGGAATCGAAAAATCGGTTATAAATAAAGTTAACCCAAACATAACTTTAGGAATAATCATTGCTGTACCATTTTTAATAACAAATAAGATATCGATAGAAGCTTTGCGATATTTAATTCACGTCTTATTAGAAAAATTAGAAAATATTCTTCACCAAGAAACCATCATTCGCTCATTAGTCAGAATTAAAAGCGTTATTGGAAACAAAAAATTCAACGAAATTTTAGACGCACATAAATCGAAGAAAGATTTTGAGATGCTCTGCGAGTTATACAATTTTCCAGAACCGACAGTTTGCGATTTTATTCCAGATATTTATGAAAATAAACAAATTTGGAGTGATCACAACCAAAACTTTCTTTCCGAGGAAATTGAAGATAATAAAAAAGTTGATAAAGTCATTTTAGAAACTGAAATAAAATTAGACGAAGGGCAAGCAATTACGATGAAAATCCACGAGGAGAGTAAAAACAACAATTATTTTGATTCAAGCGATAACAGCGATAGTGAAAATAGGTAAGAACGCTTTATTTTATTTCATATCAATGCTGTTTTATTTATTTTTTAGAGGAATAGGAACATTTCAAGTTTTAGCTGACGACAGTGATGATGATTATGAATCATGGAGAAAAACACCTAGAAGAGTTCGTTTTGGCGGTGAAATCGTTAAAATGAGAACACCAGATTCAGATAGTAATCAACAAAGCGACGAAGTCGATGAAAAATCATCTAAATCTAAACCTTTACTTGAAATTCATTACAAATCTAGCACCAAATTATTAAATAAGAGTCATATTCCCGTTCTAATTTCTTCAAAAAGCCGCCCAAACTCAGAACCGAACAGCCCAAAAAGAATTCCATCAAAAAAATTACACAAATCAAGTCCTAATTTATCAAGGATTCCCAAAAATAAAAATTACAACCAAAAACAAATCACTAAAACCATTAAAATTAAAGTGAATCAACCTAATACAAAAAATACAAGAAGAGAGGAACACCCAAGAAAATTGGTGAGGGGTAAAACAATTGGATCCAAAATTATCGAGGTCAAAGAAGAAAATGAAAAAAAATTAAAAGATGACCCAAAGAAAAATAAATTTCCCGCGTTAGAGTTTAAACCAAATAAAGAAAAATTGGATGAAAATATAAGAAATTTGTCACCACCGAAAGCTTCGTTATCATCAAGAACATCTTCGCCAAGAAGTTTATCTCCACCTAAGAAAACCACAAAAAATATGGATAGATATAGTCCAATACCTGTTCATAATGAAATCGAAGTATTTCATAATTTAACGAGAAGTCCTGAAAGAAAACAAAAAAAAGATGATGAAAAACAGTCACAACTAAAACAATTAGAATTAAAACAATTAGAATTGAAAAGATTTGAATTGAAACAAATAGAATTAAAAGAAAAAGAACGCCATTTAACGACTGCCGATGATGTTTTATTGGAAAAAACTCCGAGTTTACATGAAAGAAAAATTCGTACTGCGGATGATGCAACTGAAGACAAATCGTTTTTTGTGAATTATTACAATAGTTTTCATGTTTGTAACAATGTTTCAAATGAAAGTAATACTTTAGATTTCGATTCATCAATAGCAACAAGGGAATCGGGGGATTTAACATGTTCTAGTTCCGGAAGCGAGGGTGAAAAAATAATTTGTGAAAGAATTGGGTTAATAGATGAAAGAATTATGCATGATATTCAACTAAGGGTGAGTAATTTACAATTAACTCAACGTAACACTTAGCAACTTTAACATAACCGGCATAAAAACTGTGCGTTGTGGTTTAATATACCATCCTAATCATATTTATGAAAATTAAAACCGAGTTCTTTCAATTAAACTTTTAATGTTCATTATATCTAGAAAACATTAATGATGATTCCGGCTTCTATCTCCCTAGGCCTTCGGAAATATAATTACATAGCCTTAGTATACAGTAATTATTTACATAATAAGATCACCCAGGCTCGTAGCTAACCCAGGCTACGAACATTTATGTCTTGTGGCCAGGAGATGTCGAAGCCTATTTTTTCTTATAGCCTTGTTATTATTTTAGGCTTTAATTTGCTTGTTTGACTTCTTCTAAGTAGTATTAGTAGCCTATCCTCTCTTTCACTTCAACCTCAGATTTACATCTTGCCTGATTTAAGGTTCGTCTTGCGTTACAAGTAGTGTTTGGTAAAATGACAAATTATTTCTGGATGTCTTTTATCTTTTGAGGATCAGCTTCCATTTGTTCCCTTTCGCCTCTACAAATGTTTGTTCTTGGTTTAAATCCCTTTTTTATGCTTTTCAAGTATCTATATGCACCTGTTGGGTGATTGTCTCCTCCATTTTTTTAATGAGATCGTTCTCATATTTCTTTTTCTTGCTTCTGCACACTATATCCGTAATTTTTCTGCCCTCCTATTCTCTGTGTTTCTTTCTTCCATCACCTTTTTGCAGTATTCATCAAAACAAGTTGCTCTCTTCTTCCTCTTTTCGTTGTCTGTTATCGCCATTGCTGCTTCCTCACTTGTTGTATTAATTGCTTTTCAGTGGTTCTCGACTGGTTGATGTGCTCTTCTTGTATTAGTTTTTGAGTTTTTCGTGCAAACCAGTCTTTAACTTCCGGTAGCTTTAGGTTCTCCACGATCAATTTCTCTTTTCCCGCGGTTTTCATTGTTTCTAGATATTCTACATCTGAATTTAATTTGAACTAGATATCCACGGCACGTTGTTCTTCTTGAATTTAACGTCCATTATGTTACTTTTAACTCCGTACCTCTACTTGCTCTACTGCTTCCAAACATATTTTTACTAGCGGCAAAGTTTATGCAGCGAGTGCCCTTCTATTGTTTCCCGGAACTATTCTTCTTTGCCTATTTTGACATTCATATCACCCATAATAATTGTTATAATATCATTTGTTGGTGGTTTATAATATTCTTCCTATTAACTGATTATTCCTTCGTCTCTTCCTCCATCTGTGAGGCAATATATGTTTATCAATTTTAGGTTGACCACTTAAAGGTAGGGTTTTCTACAAAAAGTGGTCAAGTGGTTTTTATTTTAGTGTCAACTTTCACGTTTTCCCGAGACACGTGTTCAATAACACACAGCATTGGTATCTTTTTGTGGGCGCTCATTTTTCTCAGTACTTGGAATTGGCACTCAAAAAGTGACGTTCGATTAATCGTAATGGGTTTAGGCTTTTACTTTTGACAACAATTCAGGATTATGGCACGCTTCTATATACTCATCAATAATTTATAATCGAAACTATCAGTTTTGTGTACAAAACAAAAACATTCCAAAGTGCCTGTTCTATTATGTAAAAGAATTATTTTGTTGTCTCTTTTTCGTCGCTTTCTAGCTATTGGATAATTTGAAAGCTGTTGGTCTACTCTCCCAACGTAAAATTATAATCAATCACAACTTTGGGTATGTTTAATGTGGTATTTCTCGTCCTAGTTCATTGGTACCATGTATGATTGTTGTTATACAGTAACCTTTATTCAATAATGGTTTCATGAGTTTCATTACCACTTGCGTTGACACAGGCAAATGGCTATATAATGGTTCCTTTCCCTGTATATATTAGTAAAGACCCTATATACCCATATTTGAATTCGCAAAAGTAATAATTTTTTATTTCTAATCTGCCACATTTCATTGGAATGGAATGTGACTGGAACCTTCGTCAATTGATACATGTTGTTGTGGTACATATCCCTCTTAAAATTTATTGTTTAGATGGAAATATACAGGCAAATTTTTTTTTAGTTGTGGTTCGGTTGGGTTGGATGAGTAGCAGGGTCAGGGAGGTACTCAGGTTAGCGCAAAACGAAACGCATAAGTCGAGCGAAAAGGTCTCGCTCAGATGCTTAAATGGTTAAAGAAGCGAGTGCTTGCAAATCTAAGACATTGGTTTTGATTTTGTTTTCTACTAAGAAGACCACATCTCAGGTTTCAAATTCCATCATCAATCCATACTTTCACATTTCGTCCATTAGTGCTGTTTGAGCACGTGGTTTATTCCACGTTCCGAATTATTCGCCACCACTTCTTGCTACAACATTTTTTTACGTTTTCTTCGTTAGTTCTTATTACAATTACCAGAAACTGTTCTGTATCCATCTTATGTACTCATGTGATATTTGAAAATCGTTTTCCAAAACAATTTTAATTAAATATTTGGTTGGATTTTTCTAAAATAGTCATTACCAAAGTTTTTAGAACATCTCCCACTTACAATAAGAACTGCATATGGCATACAATATAATCCTAGAATGTTGTGTCCAAAATACACTCAATGAGCGAGATTTTGACAAATTTACTTTTTTTTATTCTTGTCTATATTATATTCTATATTCTTGATAAATATCACTAAAATTTACAAAGATTACAACGAAAAACAAATCATTTAAGTTTTTCTAATGTATTTATCTACCCTTAACTTATGTACTACTATTATTTAATACAATTCTAAAACAATCGATTTTGCAAATCAACTACCGTTCTTAAAAGCAATAAATCATCTAAACGTTTCCTTTTGTAGAGACCAAAAAGGTCATATGTCATAACGCAAAAATTAATCAACAACTTTCCCCCAAGTTAAAACACAACAGTCCAAAAAGACACCTCTCCATTTCAATTTAGTTCCATTTCCTAACCTCTTTTTGGTGAATACAATTAACTGAAATGGAGTTTGGCCTGGTTTTAACCTTAACTAATTTTCATATTAGCCGGTTGTTAACCTACTTAGCTTCCTTCTCTACATTGTTGGCCAACGTAGTTGTTGGCAGTGACCACTACACAACATTCACGTGTCCGGCCAGAGTTCCGTGACGGTTTCATTTTCAGACCCCACGCGACATGAACTAGTTTTCAAAACCCTCTAAGTGAGCTAATAACCCAACAATCTCGCTCTATCAAATATTATTATTCACATATAAATATGCCTAAGCCGAAAAAATATTTAGGTCGATTTGAATATCACAATAAATAAAAAAAATTACAGTTATTTAAGGGGATAATTTTTAAAATATATAATATATTAAAAAATATTTATTAATCGATAATTTTAAAAATAAAAGGAAATTATTGGGGTTAATACCTTTTCAGGTAATACAATATTCTATCAAAACGTGAATAGTATTAAATTTTTCACAATAATTACTTCGATTAGGGTCGTTTTTTTCCTTTTTTTTGAGGTTAGTGAACCGAATAAAACCGTACGATACGATCATTTTTTATTATCGTTTGATAAAGGGGGCAAAGAAAAATGTTAATTCAACACGTAAAGTGTTTCTTATGAAAATTGTAAAATGTAAGATAAAATACGAAATTTATTAACCTGTAGGTGATCGAATTCTTTTTTTAATAAAGCGACTTGCTTTTTATAGGGCGACACCGAACACTTTCCTGTTCCACTTCCATTTCCGTTAATTAAAACTTCGCTCTGCACGTCTCGCGGTTAAAACGAAAACGGCACGAAACAGTTTTTTAATAAACACGGAAAGGGTTATAATTTGTCAATGTTTATGCGTTATATTCATTTGTGTAACAATATTTGAATTAATTGAGCTAATTTTATTTATCGTGAGTTAAAATAAAAATCCAACACTTTTTCTGGTCACTATTTATTTAATGTCTTACCAATTTCGACTTACGCCATCATCAAAGACTCTATGATAGTTATAATTAATTTTATCAACATATAGGATTCATTTGTTGCACATATACACGACCGTCACACGACAAATCTATGGTAGCTTTTCCTAACATTGATGCAATTAGAAATTTCTATTTTGCCTTTGTCTTCAACACACTTAGCTTGTGCAGCGTGGTTTGTAATCCTCGGTATCACTCGTATAAGTCTAGAATTAGAGCGTATTCAATCTAAATTGCTCAAGTACTTTTGTTTTAAATTTTCTGTTCAAAACATTGATTACGAATCAACTTGCACTTCTTCTCAGCGTCGCTTTTGTGGGGATCTGTTATATTGTTATAAACTTTTGAACAACAACTGTGATTCTCCAATGCTTGTCGGTTGTATAGGTGTTCATTATTGGTGGAACGGATATCCGGCAACCATCCGGTCTATCCAGCCAAATACCGGATAGTTACCAAATATCAGTCTTTGGCCGTATATAAAAAACGTATCACTTACTACTCTACTATTCACAGGAATTAGTATCTCTTTTAGGTGTTGGACACTGCAGATAATAATTAAGTTCAACCCCAATAGGACTTTTTTCATTGAATACAACTTTATTTATATCAGGTTTATCACTGTTATCAACAAGCCGTTTTGAAAAATCGCTTTTAGGTTTTGAGAAATAAATTTTTGAAATGATCGACAATTTTTTCGAATTTTACAATTTTCACCGATTAAGTTTTAAAAATTTGTAAAAAATCCATTTCTTGGAATATGAGTTTGAAAATTTCCCAAAGTGTTAATAAAAGTGTCCTCTTTCCAATGAACCAGCCCGTTTTGAAAAATAACTTTTAGATTTTGAGAAAACAATATTTGAAGTTTTGATAAAATTTTCGATGCTGCAATTTTCATCGATAACTTTCAAAATTCGTTATAAAATTAATTTTTTGAAGGATCCTTGTGGAAATATCACCAATTGTTAATTATAGTAACCTCTTTTTTATGTAACAAGCCGTTTTGAAAAATCACTCTTTGTTCTTGAGAAATAAATTCTTGAAATAATCGACAATTTTTTTCGTTCTTTGCAATTTTCGCCGATCAAGTTTTAAAAATTCGTATAAAATCCATTTCTTGGAATATGAGTATGAAAATTTCCCAAAGTGTTAATAAAAGCGTCCTATTTCCAATGAACCAACCCGTTTTGAAAAATAACTTTTAGTTTTTGAGAAAACAATATTTGAAGTTTTGATAAAATTTTCGATGTTGCAATTTTCATCGATATCTTTCAAAATTCGTTATAAAATTCATTTCTTGAAAGATCCTTGTGGAAATATCACCAATTATTAATTAAAGTATCCTCTTTTTAGAGTTGCTTTAGTTAAATCAGCATCAAAAAAGTTCATTTTGTATCTTGGATCCAAATAAGTTGACATATCTTATCAGCTTTCTTATTAATTTAATTTTTATTCAAATATCGCAATAATGTGGCAATATCACTTCAAAAATGTACCAGAAATTTTAACCATAATGGCCGGATGTATATGCCGGATAACCGGATATCGGGCCGAAGGGGATGCCGAATATCCGGTATCCGGCTTTTCGCAAAATCACTATCCGTTCCATTACTAGTGTTCATGTTCCTCCGAGATTATTTTGCTTTGACTTTCTATGTATAACACCTACTCCCTAGAATCAATGCCTGTCAAAACTCTCTATTAAAAAAACTCTTTATTAAGATTTATTAAGCATTCTTTCTATGCATTTAAAAAATTGCTTTTTGCTGCAGTTGAGATAAATAAATAAATAAATCATCTCTGATGATGGCGTAAGCCGAAACTGGTAAGACATTAAATAGATAGTGACCAGAAAAAGTATTGAATTTTTATTTTAATTCACGTTATATAAAAATTGGTCGATATGGATCAAACCTCCTCCTCTAATTCTAATTTTATTTCTTTTAGAACGATGTGATTGCGAAGAAAAATGGATTAGAAGAATTATTAAAAGTTTTAAAAGATAAAACAGTTTTAGATTCAATATCAGATAAATTACCATCATTACTTAACATTCTTTTTAATGCCGAACAACAACCTATTCTTCAATCGATATCAGAGGTCTGTAAAAGTAATTAATCATACTCATATAACACGGCTGTAAAAATAGCAATACGAATACATAATTAATTACGAATTTTTTCTCTTCATAAATATTAACGAATTCTTTCATGCCTAATTATCCTAATTTTCATAAATTTTTGTTTACTAAAAACTACGTGGAAATCAGAACGTGATGTTAAAAGGAAGGAAACACAAAATATCGAACTGGAACTTTAGAAAAAAAAATTCGTATCGCGTTGTTGCTTTGGTCGCAAAGCGGCACTAAGGGGATTTAAATTGCAAATTTATCCCCGCGCGCGGTGTAGAAAATTTATTCAATATGCTATTATGTAATAATGGACGAGGTTGGTCCTTGGAGGGTGGCGTAATTTTCCAAGGATATCAACGATGATTTTCTTTTTTAACGGTAAAATCTAGGTTAATTTTAATTCCAGCAAATTTTAACGTATATTTTTGGAAACATTACCGAAGAAGCAATTTTAAACAAAATCCAACCAATCATTTATAATTTAAGTCGAACAGGAAGCCCACTTGGAGTACGATTAGCTTTAATTATACTCAATAGGTTACCATCAAAATTTCTTATTGATTCGTTATTAGAAGATTCAATTTTAACAGCAAAAAGTAGCAAGGTAAAATTAAAAAATACTTTAATCATTAATTTTTAATAAAAAAAATTTTGTTTAGGTTCGAGAGGGTGCTTTACAAATTTTAATGGCAATAACACGAATTTTTCCAAGTACTGAAATTAACATTCCTAATTGTTTATCTTCGGTATTAAAACTATTGAAGGATAAAAAAAGAAAAGTTCGCCAAGCAGCTTTAGAAACGACAGCAGCTTTATCTCAACTAAGCTCAACTATCATGGTTTTGGATATAGCAACAACAATTTTTCAAAATTATCCTGATAATGATCAATTATTAAGAGTTATCCGAACGAGATTATCACGAAAACAACTTCCGGCTATCGATTTAGATGGAAATATACGATATTCGACACCTTTGGGTCAAACGGAATTAAATTTTTTGTCGAATATAAATGGATCGTTGGAACAAAGAAAAGCTTTGCAAGCTGTTGAAAGTTTTCCAGAAAGTTACCAAGAAAGTTTTTCTGAAAGGAAATCAGAGTCATCTAACGAAGAAAAAGCTAACTATTGGATACACAAAAAACACCATATAGATTTTAATGAGAGGGGTATTGACGATATTGATTGGAATTCGCACGAATATAGGGTAATTTTATTTAATAGCTTTAGCAAAAATGATTATTTCTTATTTAACGATTCTCATCATTCTCAATTGATAGTTACTAAGTAATTATTGATTCAACAAAGTAGCAAAAAACGTATTAGTTATGTCTCTTAAAACTAAATTAGTACAAGAAAAAGCGGTTGTAATTTTAGAACTTATTTTGCAAATCTAATCAATTACGTTTTTGATCTATAACAACATTTTTTTTCTTAGTAAATTTATTTATGACGTCATCCGGTCACGGAATAGCACCGTTTGTTCTCCCCTTCAATCGATTCGTGTAAATTTGCGAGTGACATTGTGTAGCGAAGGCCGTAGAACGCGATAGAACATTTTTTTAAGACCAAAATGTAACCGAAAAGTGTAAAAAATTCGTTGTAAAATGCTTTTATGCAGATTGTTTACTTTAAAACCAGTGAGTTTAAACCAAATTTTTACTGTAAGTCAATCTTTTTACGAATCTTTAGGAGTAATTTTTTTATTTCCGGCGCATACACCTTTATTTTAAGTTAATATTAATTTTTTTAGGATGAATCTCACAAAAATTTACAACCGCAAATATGGGCGATAGATCCAGGAAATTTATATGTTAATCCAGAGAAAGTTAATCAAGTCAATGGTAAGTTTGAGATTGTACGAGTAGACAAAAAGAGTTTTTAAGGTAAACATGAAATTTTTTTGATTTTGAGGATGCCTTAATTTAGTACATAGAAACTTTGAAAGACTGTCTTATGCTTTAATTGGTCAGTTTATTTAAAATATATTTTGACTCGTATTTTGGTAGTAATAAGTATTAAGGCATATTTATAGTTCTTCTCTTTGCTTCTTCTTCATCATCTTCTTTCAGGAGGCGTATCGCCTGTTTAGTTTCGGTTTCCCTGCCTTAGCACATCTTGTGGTGTAGAGTGCCAACTGTCTCGCAGCATTGTTTAGGTTATCCTATAAGTCTTCTTCTGTGTGGTGTGTTGTTTCTCACAATCTTGACTATTCTGTCGGGACCCATCCAGTTGACGTACTCGTCTCATTCTCTTCTTCTTCTCGTTGTCCATCTTACTACGCCATCTGTTTTGCACTATTCTTTTATGGCTCTTACCCAGTTATTGCTCTTAGGATCTTCATCTTGGATATTCTTGTTTCCGCAACATATGGCATCATTGGTCGTACACATGTTTTGTATATTCTCAACTTACAATCTGTACTTAGGTGTTTTTCTAGATTACTTCAGAGATGCGGCAGCTTTGTTGACTTGTTTCCTCACTTCATCTTCCAAAAACCTCGTACTTGTGATTTTGCTGCCAGTGTATTCGAATGACATAGTTTGTTCGATGATATTATGTTCTATTACCAGTTTGCAGCGCAGTTGTTCCTTTGCATTTGGTCTTGTCGAAAAATGTTTAGTTTTCCTGTTTATTAAAAGCCTATAACATTCTATAAAGGTCATCTTTTGATTCCACAGTAAGTAGTACTGTATCGGCTGCATAACATAATATGTTTATTTTATTTGTTCCCATTCCAAAAGTATTGAACATTCGATATCCCAATCATGTGTTAGCAAGCTACTTATTAATAAAAAAATAATTCGAGATTCTAGCTATGGGCAAGCCGGAAGCAAAAAGCATCGGTGAGAAAGACGAAAAACAAGGGTATAAGAACAGACGGCAATATCTTTAGCATACACGTTCAGTGTACTCCTGCTATCTAGAGGAAGTTTGAGGATTGTATCAAGAACGCAGAAACAAACGGCGACACTCTTATAGTCAAATATATCTCTAATATAATATATCTCTTATAGTCACACTTATAACTCAAACTTAGAAATATTAGTATTGGTGACGGCATCTAAATACAACAAAAACGTTCCTTACAGCATTTCAGTATTGTAAAGTTCAACAAACCGTACACCATTGTCGAAAGAGAACTTAATTGAGTAATAACACTGTGAAAAGGGGAATTGACGAGATGGTTCAGCTTTATAAATCAACATTGCAAAAATACAAAGCTTATTCTTAATCAATAGAGAATTTCAGAAAGAAAATATATCTTAACAATTTTATTTGACATACCTTCGAGTAACATCTTGTCTGTGGCTATTGTTGATATCCCAGCAATTATGAAACAACACCTATTACACTTAAAAGAAACCATATTAATTTATTGGTGATGTAGTTCTTTGGCTCTCTAGAAGTGTATGTTTGGGCGAGTTTTATGTACTTCTTTATTGTGTTGGAGTTCCTGGAAAGTAAAAATAGTGATCTTAAACAAAAAGAAATGATTTAATAAAGAACGTATAATATCTATAACTTGAGCAGAAGAGAATAGTATCAGTTGTCAAACCTTTTAACATTGTAAAAGCAAGATAACTAATGCTTGAATGAACTATGTTTCAGAAGTTGAACTATGTTCAAGAGGTATTGAACAGTGGACAATATTTCATAAGTAATGTGAAAATTTGCCAAATAAGGTTCTAAAGTAGTTGCAACTTTAAACGTACTTATAACTTAAGAACTAAGTCCAGTGCCGGCGCTAGCAAATGAAGCGCCAGGGTGCGGGAACCGGAATAGCCCCCCCCCCCCAAGCATTTTGGGCGGAGTGCGGTTAATTTGCAAGAAAAAGTCTGAAATTGCAATAGTTATAAACTAGACTTCAGCAAAAAACAGGAATAACATTGTTCAAAGTCCACATGAAGTCTGAAATTAGAGAAAACAAAAAATTGATTATAAACCAAACATGATTTTACATGGCAATACTTATGTGTTCAATAAAAGAATGCGAAGAATATGAACAAGAAACCAATGGACTTGTCTTGTTATTGCACAGGACAGGAAAACACCAATACGAAAATTTTGCCAATGCAGGATAAGCACAAAAGCAAAGTAACAGCTGCAGAAATTAGGTACCGGGTGGTACAAGATCCGTATAGATAATAAGAGGCTCCCAAAAAGATGATGATAGACATCCAGAAAGAAGTAGCTGTCAGTATCAAGAACAAAACATACATAACGTTGGCAGAAGACTAGATACTGCTTCTAAAAAACTAAATACTGCTTTCTGAAGACTAGATACTACTCTGGAAGATTAAATACTGCTTTCTGAAGACTAGATACTGCCGACAGGTCTAAATACAGCATCTGGAACACCAAATACTGTCTTCTAAAGACTAAAATTGCTTTGTGGAGACTAAATACTGCTTTCTGAAGACTAGATACTGCTATCAGGTCTAAATACTGCAAAAGAAAGATAATATATTTTGGAAAAAACATTAAAAAGGCGTCGGCGCCCCCTTTTAGGCGGCGCCTGGGTGTAGTACACCCCTTGCACCCCCCGATAGCGCCGCCTCTGACTAAGTCATCAGCGTACATTATCGTTAATAATCAGATCCGATAAAGACAATGTGAAAAGCAGGTTATAAACTTTGTTTGTTGGTACCTTGTTTCAACTTAGTAGTAAGTAACTAGTTTGAGGAGGCTGTGTTAAAAGCACAACTTTCTTTTCTCTGGCAAATTTTATAGCTTGAATGCTATGAGTCAAGAAATACGTGAGTAAGCTCCCAATTCTCAAATAAGTGGTGAATAAAAAATACTTGAAATAGGTCTCTCAGCTTTACCACCACTACTACCATCAATTGTTGATTTAGGCTAAAGTCTTATACTAACAATAAGAGGAATTTAATGTTTGAGGAATGAGAATTCGTTCACCCTAAACATTTTATTCTCAAGTTCCCAACTTCTCAAGAGATGATGAAGTTATTCTTAGTTACGATTCTGTCAATTTCTGCGCTTATTTTGTTTCTTGTTATCACACTGCTGGTGGTAACTTAACGATGCATATCAAAATGTAATATGCAGATGCTTTCAGAGTTCACTGAATTAGAGTCAGTTTTAGGATTACAATTTTTGCATAAAAATAATGACTTTAAAAATGAATTATTTTATTGTGATTATAAAAGATCAAATCTTTGTTAAACAATTTCATTAACATAATCTTAATCAAATGATCTTAATCTCACGCTATTCCATTCATATTAATTTTTCAATTTTCCTTTGAATATTACTGTAGATCAGATTACATAGCAGTAGTGAAGTTTTTGGAGAATATTGCAGTTATTGGACCACGACTATCTTAGTACCTCAAACAACAAGTTGAAATCAAGCAACAGGATTCTAAAAAATAACCGTATTAAGATTGAATATACCGCAGGGGTAAACAGCGAAGTGAAATTCATTTGGAGCTTTGACAAGAAAGAAGTCGTGACCACGGACAAAAAACCATTGTTAAAATACAAAACTGGGTTGGGTTGCAATAAAAAGTTCCAGATTACACCAATAGATTCACAACTAAATGAGTTGTATAGAATTATAGCTACAGTAATATATCTTTGTTCATCGAATAGTTCGAATGATGTTGATTCTCAAATGCAAAAACTTTTCATTTTATCAGAAAACTCGACTGATTATAATTAGTGCTACAACGCATTGTTGCTCTTGTCGTTGCCAACAAAAAGAAAATAGATATTTGTAAATTCAAATTTACATAATGTAATAATGTTTTATTTAGGTTCTTTACGTCCTGTTTTTGTGGTCCAACCTGAATCATCTCAATCATACGAATCATCCCTCAATGGAATATCAAAAAGCAATAAAGAAACCAATACTGAACACGACGTAAATATTCGGCACAACCGAGGAAGGTCATTTTCTCCACCAAAAAAAGGTTACGATTCAAGTTTAGAGAATAGCTTTGAAAATGACAGGTTTTATAAAAACGATGGAAGTAAAAATACAAGAATTTTCAATAATGAAAAGTTTCATAAAAGTCTTTCTTCCGATCAATTGTTACTGAATGATCGGCGTTATTCAAGACATTCCGAATCATCTTCAACATCGGGTAAAAAATAAATATTAACATAAAAATTATAAATATAAATTAAATAAATTATATTTTAGGTTCATCTATGAGAAGTAATTATGCTTGGAAACGCGATGTCCTTTCTGGAATTCCAGTACCAATCAACACCGATTGTAGATTTAAAATAAGAACGCGACAAAATGAATCAAAAGGACCTCTTGTAACATCGCAATATTACAAGTGAGTTAAAAATAACAACATAATTAATTCTTTTTTTTCTATTAATTCTTTTTTTAACATATTATGAATACGGGATTATCTTGATAACCTTTGCATGTCGAGTACAAAGTCACATCGAAAGGGGTAACGGTTTCTTTTTAAATGCGGGTGTCGGGAAATGATAAACGAAACGGTGAACATTCTAGAAAGAATTGTTTTGTCATTTAAATGGAGTAAGAATTAATAGAATCATTACTTGTCACATTGTTAGGAATTTTTAACATGATTTTAATACCGTTAGATGTAAAAACGAACTAACAATCTTTCATAGTAACAAAACTTTTTACCTAACCACCAGTTTAATTAACAATGCCCTACATTCTCGTACATAAATGCGTTCCAAATCGATCAATTCATTTTTTCACCCCATTTTTTATTCGCACGGGAAAGACTTTTTAACCACCCACCGATGGGAACTAACATTTGGTTACTATCAAGGTCGTTTCACATCACTATTACCAATCATTTACTATTCTAAAGAAAACGCACAAGTAAAATTTGCAATTCAAAGAAAACACAAAAAATTGAAAATGATATTCGGAGAATTACTCCTAATATCTTTTATTTGTTGGGGTTAAAAAAAAGTGATTGATTAGTCGAAAAAAATAATAAGAACGCGGTAATTAACCTCTTTGAGTCACGCATGTCTAAGTTTTTTCCCCCCAATTTTTTTTTTTTGAAACCCCTTTCTCTCCTTACGTTCTTTATTCGTCGGCAAAGTCGATAACACGCTGAATGACCGAGCGTGGATGGAGTGGGGAACCTTAGGTCAAGCAATCAATGCGACCGGCATACTTCAACGTGACACAAAAGCTTTACACGAGCTTCAAAGTACACCGAAAGTATCGTTAAATTTCGCAAAGTTGCCGGTTTTATATGATAATTTATAATTAAAAATTCAATTTGTGGTGAATTTAAATAATGGGGGTGCAATGATTTGTAATTGGAGTACGAACGTTGGTGGTAATTTTTGGGGCGTAAATGATAATGACAGTGGTGATCAAAAAAAATTATGGAATCCGCCGTGGTGTTGTTGTTTTTTGCCAAAAAAAATTAGTGAATTATTGGGCGAGGAAAAAGAAAGGGTAAAAACTACTCCGGTTATATCTGTTGCTGTTATACCTTATAATAATGACACGTAAGATTTCATAAATAGTCCATTTTATAATCTCACAACCTCATTTTGTCAGTTTAGCCATAACATAGAAATCACGCGCAAAAACATCTACATGCAGTTGTCAGCTTTGTGGGCGGTTTGGAACTGATATTTATCTGATTATAAGAAAATACTTAGGTGGATCATTAATTTATCAGCAACGGTTTCTTGAAAAAGCCTTACAAAAGAAAACTACTTGCAACCTGACAAATAAAGCAAATAGATGCCTGCAGCTAGATAGATTCCTTATCTGCAGGTGCTTTTCCATCTGAATTTTAGCCTGATCTGTCAAAATTGACACCCAACTAATTTTCATAACAATCTGAGGGGATTGACCAAATTCCTATTGAACTAGAAGAAAGGGATCCAAACAGAATCTAAATTTCTGTCTGATAATAATGTTTCCATATCATAAGAGCTTATATCTAAAAAGAGACGAACCTTGGAATCCCTCCAATGGCGAGCAAAAGGAGATCTGCATAAAAAATTGACAAGACTTCGAATGTATGTGCATGTTGACTTTGTCTGGCTCTAATTCTCCCTAGAGGTTATTCGAACTTGCAAAAAATGAAGGCTAATTTGGTAGACAATCAAACTTCATCACTGCATCAACATTTTCAGATTCGCATTTCATCGATTGTGACATTCTCTTCGACGTTATAGCTTTTCTAACACTTTTCCAGAAATTTACTTGCGTAGTACAATAGTAGTACATAACCATCATCGACAGAAAGTAAGATAGTACTTTGTTGTCTAAAAGTGATGGGTTGGAGAAAATGTTACTAAGTTATTCGCGATAACTTGCATTTACGAAAATTCGCGATAACTTGCAATTGCGGGCTTCCCAATGATGTCATCTCATCCAATAATAACCCGATCGCATCCAAAATAGCAGAGATAACAGAGCTTCCTCCATCATTTACTTTAATATACTCACAGACTTTCTGTTGGTGGTCAGATTACACTTCGCCTCTTAGATTGAATTAGATTTTTGCCTGTTATCCCTTCTTCTTCTTAGACCATATGGTCTGTTTAGTTTATCTGGTTTTTCCTCCATGTTATGTCTGGGACGTAGATTGCCAACTGTCCTGCCATCCCTGACGTCGTCGTTCGTGATTCTATCCATTATTGATATTCCCAATATAGATCTTAATGTTTTAGTAGTTCTTAATGTTCTTAGTGGGCTATTGATTTTGTTTGTTTCCTCGCAGACTTCGATCCCGTAGGACATTATCAGGCAAATGCACGTCTTATATATCCTAACTGTGTATTTGTCTTATGTAACTTTGTTCCATGTATTTGTTAGATCAAACAATATCTCTTAAGGCTCCTGATATTGCTGCTGCCTTATTAGTTTGTGATCTTAGGTCTTTAACAGGATCATTGAAGCTGGAAATTTGTATGCCCTGCTCGATGAGTGGTTTTATCACTAAAAACCAACATGTCCAGCTCTTTGCTCATTTGGTAGAACTTGTAAAGTTGTTTTTGTATATCCCTAAAATTACTTCATGTCGACATACATAGATAGGTAGTAAATATTCGATTACAATATTTATTTATTTCTTTTTTTATTTTTAGTTCAAAACTTCAATCGACAGATACAATCAGCGATAAACTCTCAAATAATATTCCAACTCGTCCAGTTATTGCAAAAAAGCCTTTTTCGTCAGGTTCGGAATCTTCTGGTTACTTTACCCCACCAACTGAACCTCTTTTACCTGATATTTTCGACCATCATCATGCAGGAGACGCTCCCAGATCGAAATCAAGCCAATCAGAACGATTTATCCGCATTGGCACACCTTCGATACATCACGAAAATTTTACTGTAATCGATAGTAATTACTGTGAAAGTCTTAAAACGAAATCGGCGCCAGTACAACATTATCCGTCATTCGATAGCGTAGATTTCGAGACTTCTAAAGAGTTTGGGGAAATTGTTGAAAGGGTTTCATCGCCGGAAGAAGAATCCCAAAAAGACGAAAAAGATATAATTGTTAGTGATGAGGATGATTTAGAAAGTCAAGTTTTAGAAAATGTTTTAAAAGACGATCTTGAAGTTGAAGTTGTTGAAAAGTATGAGCAAAAAATTTTAAGGAGAGAATCAACGGTGAATAGTTTAGAGGATTTAGATTTTATAGCAAATCAAGCGTTTGGCGAAAGAAAATTATTATCGAAGTCAGAAGCTGATATCTTAACAAGTACAGAAATTGCTAGAAAAACAATAAATTCCGCTCCGACGATAAACAAAACATACGAACATTTTAAAACTTTCGATGATACTCCAATATCGTCAACAAAAACTTCTTTGCCAGGTTCAGTTGTTGATTTTCAAGAAATAGAAGTTGTTCAAGAAGTCATCCAAGAAAAAACTCCAACAAAAATGGTTTGCACAAAAAGAAAACTTAGTAGAAAACGTTCGATAAAAACATTTAAAACACCGCCAGAAGAAAAGAAAACAATTTTTGACCCATCAACTCCTTTTACAAAACCAAAAGAATCTTTAATGGAAACTCTGAATCAATTAGATAGCTCAGAGTGGGAAATAACTATGAAAGGTCTTCAAAACTTGATTAAATTGGTTCGTCATCATCAAACAACCGTTGAATCAAATTTACATCAAATTTGTGTTGGTTTGAGTAAACATATTAAAAATTTACGTTCTCAAGTGGCCAGAAATGCATGTACTGCCGCTTCAGAACTTTTCCGAACTTGCAAAAAACACATGGAAGTGGAAATTGAAGAATTAGCAATACCTCTTCTTCACAGAACAGCAGATACTAACAAATTTTTAAGAAGTGACGCTAATACAGCACTTGATGACATGTCAGCAAATCTCTCACCACCAAAAGTCGTCGCTGTAGTCACATCCAAAGGAAGTACTCATCAAAACGCAATCGTTAGATGTGCTTCAATAAGGATTCTTTGTGCCTTATGCCATCGACTCGGACCTGAAAAGTTTTTTCAACTTCCTAAAGACACTAGAGATAAGATTTTATTAACTGGCGCAAATATGTTAACTGAAGGAAGTCTGGAAACGAGGTAAAAACAATGTTATTAAGAAAGTTTGTATATTAAGATATTCTGATTTTAGGAAACATGCGAAGATGATGTTGGGTCTTTTATCTAGGCACATTCAATTTCATAAAGCTATGGTGGAAGCTGTACCTTCACATATCATGAGACATATTTCAAAATCATTAAAAACTTTAATATAATAGATTTAGAAAAAATAGATAATTTTGTTTAATTAAGTTGATTTTCTTGTTCTATAACGATGTTATTATCTACAACGATTTTGTGTTACAATTTATAATCAATAAGATTTTTTTAAGTATATAATGATACATTTTTACACGTTTTTTAATAAAGAACAAAGGATATGATTTATGCCGTCCAAAATTAAATAAATGTATATTTGTAATAATGAAATGTTAGATTTTTGTTAAATAAATATTAAAATAATTCAACATTTATGTTTTTATTATTAAAATGCAAATATTTTGGGTAGGATTATGTGATGTTTTTGCTAGATGTCTTGATGTCCAGAGTTAGTTCTAGCGGTAGTTGCTATTGATTTAGTTGTCCACAAAATTGATAATTTAAACATTTATAAAATATCAAAATAATTTATAAATTCAAAATGTGAAATTAAATTAAGTTGGCAACACTTCTAACTAGTGTCAATAAATGACATAAACGTCAATAATTATTCTAACCTCAAAGCACGTGTAATTATTATTATATTAATTCTTTTAAAATAATGTCGGATGAAGAATATCAAACTTCAGATTCAGACGATGATTATGCAGAAAATGAAAAAATTTTACTTAATAAAGTAAGAAATCGCAAACGGGATTCCTCGGACTCTGAAGTAAGTAAACATAACCTAAAAAAAATTTTATTTTATTTTATTAATCCTTTTATATACGATTTTTTAAATAATTAGAATGAAGTATATGGAGTTGGTACAGATAGTGATAATAGTTCAATAGCTTTGAGTGATGTGGAAGGTCAAGATGATGACAATGATCTCCCCAATGTAAGAGCTTGGGGAAAAGACAAAAAAAGTTATTATTGGGCTGATTACGTCGATCAAGATTATGGGGGATTTCAAGGAAAAGATGCTGTGTTGGCTGAGGTTGAAGAAGAAGAGGCTAGAAATTTACAAAAGCAATTAGTTCAACAATTAGATGAAGGCGATTTTTCTTTGGATTTATTTGCAAAAAAAAGTGAGGGTGAAGCTAAGGATAAAATTGAAGAAGTAATTAAAACGGATATAAGTAAATTATCTCAAAGGCAAAAGTTGCAATTATTAAAAAAAGAATCGCCCGAATTTTTTGAATTGATCGATGATTTTAAAAATAAAATGGAAATTATAACAAGTTATTTAGGTCCAGTTATAAAACTAAAAAAGGAGTGTAAAATTAAGTCATCGAATGCTGTGGAATTCATTACAACTTATTATAACCTAATTTTAAAGTACGTTTAATTACCTAGTTAATTATTTAATCATTTTATTAATTTTAGTTACTTCTCGAATATTTCTATGTATTTGTTATTAAAATCAACAAAAACACCTCTTCAACATCACCCCATAGTAAAAAGATTATTTCAATATCGACAATATCTTTCACAAATGGAATCTGTATTTGAGGAAGTTGTAAAAGATCAAATCAAAGCTTTACTTGAAATGGATTTCAATGAAAAAGAAAAGATTGAAAAGAAACCTAAAACACTAAAACTTTTAGCAAATTTGAAAAATAAGAAATCAATATTAAAGGAAGATATTTCAAATGAGTTAAATGAGGAATATGATGAAAATATTAAAAAGTCGGTTAAATTTGCTGATGAATCTGATTCAAATGAAAATAATTCAGATCAAGATGAAGAAAATCAAGAACAAGAAGAAATTTTAGGCGAAAAACGTGCTATAACATATCAAATGGCTAAAAATAAAGGTTTAACACCACTGAGACGTAAAGAACAAAGAAATCCGAGAGTTAAACATCGAAATAAGTTTAGGAAAGCTAAAATTCGTAGAAAAGGAGCTGTACGTATCAAAATTAATTTAAAATCCATTTTGTATCATTCTTTTTTGTTTAGGTTCGTGAAGTTCGAAGAGAAACCACAAGATATGGAGGTGAAATGTCTGGAATTAAAGCTTCTGTTACTAAAAGTGTTAAACTTAAATAAAAAATTCTTTTTCAACAAGTTAGGTTATATAATAAAAAGAATGGAAAATTGAAAAACAAAATTTGTATTTTACCTGTCAATCACCTTGTTATTCTGTCAAAATCAATCCTCATTACTCAAAATTAATTTGATAATTTAAAACTTGCATAAATTTTGTGTTTAAGCATCAATGTATTTCCGAAGCATAATGCGTAAGTATTTTTAATTGTGTACCAAGTTTTGATAATATAAATGTTGAGAATAGATATAATGTTTTTTAGAACGTTGCCCGAACGTCTATTCAACACCTCTATAAAATCGTTTATTTAATGAGATATAAGAATTATTTAAAATGATTAATAAGATTTAAAAATTTTTTTAATAAAATCGATAAAATTGTAATAAACCGATTAAATAATTCTACTTGAGTTTTTGATATAAATTCAAGAACGTATCCATTCACCTTCAGAAGGTCAAAAGTGTTCAAACTTTACTCCTCATTTTCTTAGAGATTTTCTGTATTAATTTTTTTATATTAATACTAAAAGTAAGTTAATAACTTTAATATAAACACAAATGTTAATTTAATTGTTTTAATTAGCAGATTTCGTTAAAGTATTAAGCTAGTTCATTAATGTTTGTTTTAATTAATTATAAAATTAATTCGTTTTAGGTTGTTATTCCACAATGGGAAGAAAATTTATTGTCGGAGGGAACTGGAAGATGAATGGTAGCAAAAAATCCATTTGTGAAATTTTGGGTTTTTTGAAAAAAGGACCAATTTGTCCCGATGTTGAGGTTTTTATTGGGGTTCCCTTCGTCTATTTGGAAGAAGTGGCCAAAAACAAGCCGGATAATGTTATAGTAGCCGCCGAAAATTGTTATAAAGTCCCCAGTGGGGCTTTTACAGGTATTTTTTTTTTTATTATTTTATTTTAAGGTTATGTAAGGTTATTTTAACCTTTAATCCTTACATGTTTATTATCAATCTCGGTATACGTTTAAAATAGATTAATTTGAAGTGGTTTAGTTTCTCAGATAACTTATTTTTACTTAAAAAGTAATCTAAAAGTTTATTATAATTTGACAAAAAAATTTGAGGTTATAATTCATGTCAATGTTATTGTCAGTTTTCGTTCAGAGATGGCGCCCATTTTTTTTTTCTAAAAAACTCAAATTATTACATTTTACAACAGATATCTTTATTGCACGGCAATTAAACTTAAATACTTTATACATTTATTTCTAAGTAAACATTTCAACAATTAAAAACTTTCATGTCTAAATTTAAATAATAATTTTATGGATGCACTGGAATATCTGGGATTGTATCATCTAATTTTTCCAAATCTTTTTTACTGAGATGATGTACGATTCCAGCTCCGAAAGAATCCCCCATAACGTTAATAGTCGTCCTTAGTCTATCCCTAAATGATAAAAATAACAAAATAAAAACTTATAACAAAGTCATAAAATCGTAAAGATTTGATATATTGCATTTTGCGCGTTATTTATAGCCCGGTACGTCTCATTGTACTGTAATAACATACGTTAATGACACCATAAACTGGAGTAAAAGAGGATGCCGTCCTTTTTGAAAATTCCCGCTGGGGAATCAATTTTTTTTGCACAACTTAATCCTCAAGGCTTATTTTCTGATATAACCATAATTTATTTAAGTTGTAAACACAAGTCGTGGTTTACTTTAATAATTTACTTATGTAATAAACCACAAGTGTTTTTATTCCATCAGGTACTTTTTTCTAAAATAATTAGTTTGTTTACTTACAACAACCAATCTATGGCTAAAATTAAACTGACATCTTCAGCCGGTAATCCCACAGTATCCAAAACCATAACCATTGTAACTAAACCAGCTTGGGGAATTCCCGCTGCACCAATACTAGCTGCCGTTGCCGTTATACTAATCGCAATTAAATGTCCAATACTTAAACTAATCCCTCTAACTTGAGCAATAAAAATAGCAGCCACAGCTTCATATAAAGCAGTACCATCCATGTTTATTGTAACACCAATAGGAAGACAAAATCGAACGATCCTAGGATCTAATTTCGATTTTTCTTCCAAACATTGAATAGCAACCGGAAGAGTTGCAGAACTAAAAAGTAATAATTATTAAAAAAAAATTTATTCATTTTAATTTTTACCTTGAAGCTGTTCCAAAAGCTGTAACCAACGCCTGGCCCAAATTGCTAATAAAGCTCATCGGATTTTTTCGTGTCATTATCAAATACAGCAAAGGGAGTACGACAAATCCTTGAATAAACAGGCCCAAAACAACGGTTATAAAGTAAAATCCCAATTTGCCTAGTAACACATCTAAACTTTCCATTTCCAAAATTTTCGACGCCACCAAAAATAAAATTCCCACCGGACTCAACCAAATCACCCATGTGGTTATCGTCATCATCGATGTCATTAACGATTGGAAAAACTTGGCCAGTGGTTTTCCTTCATCTCTTAATCGAGCTAAAGCTACGCCTAATAAAGCTGAGAAAACGACTAATCCCAAAATATTCATTCCGTCGATCGTTTCACTCGAAACTTTCCATTCATAAATGTCGTTTGAATTTGTTGGAATTAATACAGTTCTGTACTAAAAGTATTAAAAAGAAGATAGTTTTGCATTTTACTTTTATATTTAAGGTTGTAATATAAAACTTTTGGAGGATATTGGAGGTAGGAATTGGATACTATTTAAAATCTTAGTTCATACTTTATTTAATACTTAATGCAGCTTATTCAACCTAGCTTAATCTTACATTAATATTTCGATGCTGTTGGCGCATTCAGTGGAAATTAACCGAGACTTGGAGTATATTAATGACATAGTATATCTGTGAGACTATTAACCCTTTAAAGCACAAATTTGACCAAAATGGAGATATATTATATACACAAAATGATTATTATTTTTGGTCAAATAGAATTTCAGAAGCTGTTTATGACATCTACCAAAATAGTTTCTGTTTGATGAGGTTTTGTTGTGTAGGATTTGCTTGATCATGTTGTTAAACTATTTGCACATACAATCGTGTGCCTACGTGATAGGTTTCTGTGATGTTTAAAAAGACGTATTCCTCGTTAATGGTTTGTCAGAAAATATTCTGGGCCACCGAGAATTCCTTGAATGTTTTATTATTTACGCTAGAACCAGCATAGTTAGGTTAGCTGGTGAGGTTCCCAAGACTATCCAGAAAAAGAATATAATTTGTGCCTTTTCTAAACATATATATAAGCTGCATTTAACAACACACTCAATTTCCACTAGAGGAGTTTGCACACGGAGCTACTGAAAAGGAACGGATCGGTGACGTGAATTACCAGTTTACTTTGAGTCATTTCCTATGTAATCAAATGGTGCGATACTGATTACGGACTCGTCTGTGATTCATGGAAACTGGAAACCAGTTTGTCATCAGTCGACTGGCATGTTGGCTGGCCGAGTGATTTGAGTTCTAAGTGATCCAGCAGATGATTAAAGCAGATCCATGATTAAACTGAACAAACTACAGGTTTTGATTGCTGATGAGTAGCTGTATGTGTAGAATCTGGTCATTAATGAGTCAGTAATTAGTTAATGGCCTAAGTTAGCAACCAGTTTAGTTCCTTTTCAGCGTGTGCAGACCGCCTAAAAGTTGCACTTGAGAAACTTGAGTGGAATTTAACGCAGTTCAAGTAAAAACCATATACTTTAGGGTTGGGTTGGGTTGATAACATTTTTATAACTAATAATGAGTTAAATGTAGTCAGATAGCCGTGCCTTATCCCATCCAAAGCTTGGACAATATCTTGCAGTATTTTTTGCCCTCAAAACGTCTACTGCAGTTCTTACCATTCTATAGGCCAGATCCACACTGTCACAGATCTACCTTCAATGGATAACATGGGCAGGTAAAACATTGATTGAACAGTCTATTTCACAAAAAACTTATTACTATTATCTGTTTAATAATTGCTGCAAATACACATTGTAAGTTTTTAGTGAATCAATTCGCCTTTTCTCGTTCATATTTTTCCTAAATGGTACCTTTCTGCCATTTTTAGTATTTTGAGAAGTACATATTTTCAAGATCTTTATGATCCTTAGATTCTCGGTATGTAAACTGATAGTTATTAGGTTTCAGTAGTTATTATTCCACATTTATTAATTTAAATGTATCTGGGCAACCAACATCCTCAGGTAACATCTACCGGATGTGGATAGGATACAAAAATAAAGCTACAATATTTAAAAGTTGGCATCGTTGGGATCCTAAGATGTCTTCTAGATCTTATTGTATCATATAACTTACTTAATAACTTTTAATGTTATTAAGAAATGGTAGAAGAAATCAAATTTCCTTGTAAGTAGACTTTGTGAAATTATTATACAACAATAATGTCTACACGTATTCCTCATGTGGAAATTTGGCACACATTGCTTGACCAAGGCATCTAATCCTAACATGTCCAACCAGAACAACACTTTGAAACTAGACGTCATGCCAGTTTGTTGGGATTTTGTGAATGCATAACTGTTAATAACAGATTGGTGCACAGATACTTTTTATTAATAATCACTTTGGTTGGTCTTTTGGTAATCTACATGCCATTGTAGAAATTCTTGCAAAATGAAGATATGCAAGAGCCAGAACGATTTTCCATGATGAAAAGTAGGTAGATCAAAAATTATGTTATCACTTGCAGTATAGTCAGAGTTACTAATTGTAAGAAGAATAACGAAATGTAATAGTTTTATGTTTATGATGCAAATTTTATTATTAAATAATTTTAATTAATGTAGTAATTAATAATTAAAATTATTTAATTTTAATTTTGAGTTGTATTGAGATGCTTTGACGTAATTTAAAACGTACTAATCCTTTGTTAAATAAAATTAACAAGTATAAAAAGTAATTAAAAAGATTAATTAAATCGTGTAGAATTGATCTAATTGCATAACATAAAGCGGTTTTCAATTTTAATTTTAACGTCCTTCACCGTTCAAAGAATCAAACTACTTAAATTACATAATCTTTCTTAGAGATTGTTGTTATAAAAAAATTATTTAGTTCAAGTACGTTATCAATTTTTTTCTTTATACCTGTTGTATAGCAGCTTGAACAATGTTGCTAGGAACCATATTTCTGACTAAATCCAATAAAGTATCTACTGTTGTGGTGTTTCTAATATCATTGGGATCAGCTTCATGTTCTTCATCACCACCTCGATGTCCCGGCCGAATACTAACCACCAAAATAATTCCAAGAACAACAGAACAAAAAGTCGTTGTTAAATAAAATAAAACTGCTCTCCTTGCAACTCTTCCAGATAAAGATAAATCCAAATTGGCAATTGCCGAAATTAATGATGAGATAATAAGTGGCAAAATTAACGATTTTAACATTCTCAAGAATAAATCTCCGACGAAGTTCACGTACATTATTTCCCTTTGGGTCCATGGTGAGGATGAAGTTTCTTTTAAAATGAATCCTAAAGCTACCCCGGCCACCACACCACCAACTGTTAATAAAGTTAAAAGATTTGTTCTTAAACAACCCAAACACTTATTTTTATTCTTTTCGGGTGTCTCTTCTATTTGAAATTCCGCGATTCCATTCGAAAGACTCGAACGACGCGATACTTTTGTGTCGGTCATAATTTTAACTAGATTTGTGTTGCTTTGTTGCTTTCTCAAACTGTACTGTGAAGGTAAAACCTCAAGCGTTATCTTTTATATTGTTTTAAAAAAATTTTGTTTGAGCTTAGTTCAAAATGCGATGTAATTATTTTAGGTACGTTATTTTATTATTTCACTAAGTAAAATGATAAGAATGAATACAAAATTTAGTTATCAAATTAAACGTTTTTAATTGGAGGTGGTTTAAATTAGGATAGTATTTATATTTATCATATATGGTAAGACTAGATCGTGAAAGACCGTGCAAATAGTGGTAATGAACTGTAAAGTCGGCCAATTTTCGCAATGTTGTTACGTAAAAGACTTTTTAATCGTAGATCTCAAATTTTTACTATTATAGGTAAAGGCTCAAATAAAATCTCTTAATAAAATGTTACTCTTTTTAATTTGATTATTTATTTATCAATGCAACTCTTTTATTTATTATCAATTGCTTTTAAATGTAAGTATAGGTATCGTTAAAGTGAAGTGTTTACTATATTTATGATGAAAACAAATATCGATTAATAACATTTTTACTTCAGAAATTGATAACATCCGAAAACAATGTTGTTGTTTTATTTTGTAGACAGAAAAGAGTAATTCATAAAGAAATTAATGATATCTATTGATAACTATTGTAAACTTTTGATAACTATCAAGAAAAAAAGTAACTCAATACTTGTGTATTAACTGAGTGATGTTGAGTTAATGTAATGCAATAACAAATATTTATATATACAGGATGGTCTTTTATAATCAAAGGCTACCTGTTGCCTGTAGCGATAATCAAGATGTCACTCTGTAGTAGAACAAAGTCCATTTACAAGCACAACAATAATTTCTACACATATTCCTCATGTAGGAATTTGGCACATATTGCTTGAGCAAGGCGTCTAATCCTAACATGTCCAAACGGACTAACACCTTAAACCTAGACGTCATGCCAGAAGGTTGTAATTTTGTGTCAATAACCACTTGGTTCATAGATTAATCACTCTAGTTGATCCTTTGACAATCAACATGCCATTGCAGAATCAAGTCTCTTGCGTATTGACTGAGTTATGTTGAATGAATGTAATGAAATAACAAATATTTGTATATTCAGGTGGATCAAAACGCATCATCTCTTATGATAACATCGCCCAAAATTGCATTTTTTCTTACACTACTTCAAAGTCCTTATACTATAATTATTCCAGCTTTTGTAAGCAGTTTTATATACAGTTTTTTAGAGTAATTCGTTATTTCGTAGAGCTATAACAAAAAATTCGCGTTGTTTTCTCACAAACATTTTATGCATAACTAAGGTTAGCTGGAAGATACTTTCTTTCTTTACCAGTATAGTGACCATTATGAGTAGAAAAGTTTTCAAAGTCAAGATTAACTTGAATTTTTTTCGAGACTAGTTCTTTAGCTACTATAAGTGCAAAAGTAATGATGTTACCAGGCTCATTAAGTTTTCGTTCTATGGCCAATGATGCGTAAACTGGCTCAAAAATGTAACAGCAAAAAAACGGAAATTCGTAGTAAGCAGCAAACAATTTACTTTTTCTAAATCTTCTCGTTTCTGATATTGGCAACGAATCTATCTCTCAACGCTTCTTACAAGAAAGGCATCAATATGCAAAGCATTGATATTTTCATTCCTTATCATGGTGACTGGATGCATCAGTGCAGGAGACGTTTTAAAGTAGAAATGTGATTACAAAGAAATGAAAACACATTGGGCACGTTCAGCCGGTGTCAATTGTTGAGTTGCTATATTAGCAGTCGCGGCTGAACGATACGCTAAGTAAGCGCTGTTACGCAGCAGTTTAGTAAATATCTCAGCATAAGTAATCTGCGCTTAGTTTGTCAGCAGTTGTGAAATTCTAGGTTAGGATTAAGATTTTTTGTTTCTCCCCTTTAATTTTGAAAACTGACAAAACTGTATAAAAATGATTATTGTTAATGCAGAAACGCATCATCCACTATCTCTTGTAATAGCACAAAATTTTCAAAAATATTATTGTTGGCCATAGTTTTAGGTTATACAGAACCGTTAATTCTCAATTGCTTATTCAGCCGATTTCGTTCTGCTGTATTAAAGCTCATACAACTAGCTGTCTGATTTAATTCAACTGTTGACACCTGCTGAACGTACCCATTATTATTATTGCTGCCAAGCTGTTGTGAGGTTCACCTCTAGAAATAGGGAATCGGCATTTTCCATCTTTTACCTTCCAACACCTGCTTGAAGCTAGCAGTAGGCTTTTGTTCCTGCGGAAGATTGCCTCCTGTACGCCTTTCAGTCGCCGCTCGTTTGGTGTCTGGCCCTTTTGGCGTTGTGCTCTCGGAGTGAACTCTTTTGACATTCTTCTCCTCCTCACTTATAGGCTGTATGGCCTTTGCTCGGGTTTCCTCGGGAGACAGCCCTTGTTTGAGCAGCCACTTAAGCCTTTTTCGTGCGGCATCGCTTAGTTTCTTTTCTATGACTTGGAGCTTCTCAATGCTCTCCTGAAGTTTGATGGTGTCTTGTTGAGACACTACTAGTTGTGGATGAAACGGAGGACATTGTAAGATCCTCTACGCTTCCATTAATTGAATGCGATTTCTGCCATCACCCTCTTTTATAGTTTCTTTACTCAGTTCCATAAACGTCCCACGAGTAGCTAGGGAAAGAAGTTCTACCACGTCAGAGTCCCGCATGCCGCAGTAAGGGGATGTTGTTGAAACTGGAGGTCTCCAAGTATCCAGAATCCGGTTATTAGGAACCAAGTATTTCCCTCTTGGCCAACGCAATAAACCGACAAGAGTCTTCAGCATAAGCTGTTCCACCTTGACTTTAGGATTTTTAATGAGGTTGTCTCTTCTCAATCCGGGCAGTTAAGCCAAGATCCCCCGTGCTGGATTCCAACACATGGTATAACAGTTGCTGTAAACAGCAACTAGCGCCGTTATCCTTCCGGGCAAGTCCTTAGCCACGACACGACAGCTTGGACAGGACCGTTAGAGTGCCATTTAGTTTGTGAATTCCCTTATCCCATATGAGTAGTGGGAGCCACACATCCAATGATGCCACGAGGAAGCAGACACTCGATGGGGTGCTTCCTCCACCCCGCAGAAAGCCACACCAACCCTACCTAGTGCTACCAAGCCCACTCTATAAAACATTTTACTGCTTACCGAAATGAGATCCAATATGTCTAAACTCACCTCATCTGAATGGCTTCCTTACATACTTTTATTTTATATAAGCTTCATCTGTTTGCGCAATGTTGTCCCTGCATTCTTTATTGAAACATGGTTTTGATTGCTTTTTTCTGTCCCTTCCAAGACTTCTTTTGGAGTAAAGAAGAATTTAAGAAATACACACAACACTATGCAGAGATACGAAGGGTCCAATACTAGTCAACAATTTAAACTTTTATTCTGGATCTGTTTTGTAAATGGGTGGATTTTACTGATTTTGAGATGCAGAGTTCTCTGGTAATATCAGTTTTTGTCTATCACGTCACATTTCCTAGATACATAGCACAATCAAAGACAGTACTGACGAACATTGACTAAAATAGAACAAACAAGAAATACCACATGACATGATGCCTAAATTAGATAGCAACAAATTTTCAACTTTAATTTTCCTTGGTTTCACAAAATGTAACAACGATGTTCTTCTTTTGTTAGCCGTTCCATCACTCTCCCTAACAAGACTCCAGCAGTAGTCGCCCATCATCGAAGGGGTCCAGCGATTTTGATAACGGTGGGAGTCTAAAATGTGAATTTTAACATTCTGGGATGTGACATTCTATATCCCATATACTTGTAGCAGTCAATAAATCATTTGCAATGTTATCAAACGCAATTATCATCTTTTTTGGTGCCAAGAAGCCCTTCACAACTGCTTTAAAAGATGACCAAGCAGTTGAGTTTAGTATCAAAGGCTGAATCTTTCAACAATTTTCTTATTTGTTGCCTAACAAATATATCTTCTTTCATCTTTGCTTCACTCAATTAGGGAAACTTTTCTTTCAAATGATTGAAGGTCTGCCCTCCTTTATCTAATGCTTTTACAAAGTTTTTCATAAGGCCCAACTTGATATGAAGTGCAACAACTTTTAAATCCTTATATTTGATTTCATAAGTTTCTTTCTTTCTAATTTTATAGTATAACGTTTGAAAGAACATAAATGATTATAAAAAAGTATGATTGAAAATGTCGTGTAAAAATAAAATATATATTTTTAAAATCGTGTATTTTATTTTTTCCTTTTTGTAGGTGAAGTTTCTCCAGCAATGTTATTAGACATCGGTGTTAATTGGGTAATCCTTGGTCACTCAGAACGTCGTCATATTTTCGGTGAATCTGATTGTTTAATTGGAGAAAAATGTAAACATGCAATCGAAAATGGAATGACCGTCGTAGCATGCGTCGGTGAAACATTGGACGAACGAGAAGGTGGTAAAACGAACGAAGTAATCTTTAGACAACTTAAAGCGATTGCCGATCACATTGGAAAAGAATGCTGGTAATAAACGTCAATTTTATAACCTACGTTTTTTAACATTTTCTTTTTAATCAACTTTTATTTATTTTTTACGTTTAACACTGTGTTATAATTTAGGTCCAAAATCGTTTTGGCTTATGAACCAGTTTGGGCTATTGGATCAGGGAAAACAGCCACTCCGGATCAAGCTCAAGAAGTTCATCAATCAATTAGATGTTGGGTGAAAGAGAATGTTGGGAAAGATATTGGTGAAGCAATAAGAATTCAATATGGCGGTTCAGTAACTGGAAAAAGTTGTGGTGAATTATCCAAAAAACCCGATATTGATGGCTTTTTGGTTGGCGGGGCTTCGCTCAAACCGGAATTTATAACGATTGTTAATGCTAAATCTTCTTAAGTCTTAATTTTTTTGGAATTCCGAGAAGGGGTTTACCACTGTTTATTAATTTTTACTCTTTTCTGGGATATATTGTATCAATCATGCAATTGATTAATTTTATAATACCTTTTTACACTTATAAAAAATGTATGTAATTAATTCCAAAAATAAGCAATAAAATTTTTATTGATGAACACAATATATTTGTTGTATGTTGAGTTGCCTTGCAATTTTTATTTATTTGTTACATATACTCAAATCATGTTGATATAAATTGTATAACTTTATCGCTAATAATAAAATATAATACGAATACAAAAGATTGCGATTTTAAGTTTTTAGATAATTTCTTATCATATCAACTTGTTTATAAATTTAATACTTATAGGTTAGATCTTATGCAACCAACTCTTCTCAATGTCTTCTAAATACACAAGATTTGTTAGTAAACTGCTCGACTGACAATCGGTCTTCGTAACGTGTTAAAAATAAGTTTTTATTTGATATATTAACAATAAAAACTTGAAAAACGTTCAGCTTGGTGAAAAAATCATCAAAGTTTAACAAAAGTATTAAAAATCGGTCAGTTTCATTCATTTTGAACTCCCAAAAGGTTTCCTCACAGAGGTAAGTCTTTAGGTTAAGTGTTATGGTTTTATTTTGTTGATTTGTTTTGAAACGGTCGGCGGGTGATTTAAATTTATGTTTTTAATTTAATTTTTTAAACTTATTTGAATGTAAATGTATTTAAAGAGAAGAGAATCTTTCAGTCGTATTTATAATCAACAAACACTGATAAAATGTAACCCAGCCGTAATTTCAATATTTTTCTTGTGATAAAGTATAAGTTATAAAAAAATGTTTATTGCGTTTGTTATGATGGTCAAAGACAACAAGTTCGTTAAAGAAACTAAAATGTATATTTAAACTTTTAATTTACCGATTTCTATTTTATTAAGACATCATCAACTTTTTGGAAACATCGTGTGTCTTGTAAAAAAGTGTACACTTTGTTAAATACAGTCTTTTTTGTTTCTCTTTTTATTTATAATTCCCTGAAGTTGTAACTTAAGCTCATTGTAGTAAAAATACCAGCTGAAGAATTTCCGTATCTAAATTTCTAGAAAAGGCAAACTATAGACTTGATCTAAACTTAAACTTGATAGGAAGAATTTGTAGCGAGAAAGAATTTGCTGTCGTTAAGCTATTATAGTTAATTCGGAATAAACAAAATTCCTACCTACCACATTCTTTCCTTTGATTTTCTTACTCACAATGTTTACATCGATAAATTATTCTTAATAAAAAGCTTTCCTTTTTAAGAAATCGTTAAAATATATACGTTCTAATTTTACGATTATACATTTTTATTTTATTGGTGTTCCACAAGAATATATAATTCTTAATCTAAAGTTTTTAAGTTGAAGCAGTTCTTTTAATAGGTTGGCCTTTTGGTTATCAGCTCGTTAAATACCATGTTTCACATAGACAAATATTGTCTCAAACACATTTTCCACAGTTACTTTGACAACTGTGGACTAACTGACATTACTACATAAGTACCAGGTTAAAATGAATTTGGGAATTCCTTAATTGTCATTAATAATGAATACAGTGGCGCGCCGTGGTAAACGATCGCCGGGGTGCGAACTCATTTTTGGCGCCCCAAATTCGTATTGAAATAAGATACAAACATTAGAACAACAAATAAAATATATTTTTTATACTAATTTATTACAATTTACAAAATATTTATAATAAATTAATTTTTCTTGCTTTCTTTGTTGCAAATTCGTTGAAAATGGAGTCAATATCTACATTTTTAACAATATCGTTTTCAATACTTATTAAAGACAAATTGTTAAGTCTCTCTGGACTCATATTTGCCCTTAAATAGTTTTTTATTATTTTAAGTTTTGAAAATGATCTCTCTCCTGATGCAACACTAACAGGTAATGTTAGGTATATTCTAAGTGCTATAGTAATATTAGGAAGCATATAGAATAAATCATTAGTAAATATATAATGTAAGACATTTATTGCATTCATATTAGGTTTCAAATACGTTGTTAAAATTTCTATTTCATCATATAAATCTTTTCCACATATATCAGAATTGTTACTATTTTTCAATTTTTCTTCCAAGTTTGTGTAATACTTAATTTTTGTTTCTTTACTTTCCATTTTTAAGCAGTAAATGTCATTTAAAAACTGAAAATTTTGATTGATAGATTTTAAAAAATTGAATCTCTCCTGTATTTTTGATGTTGCAATATCTATTATTGTAAAATAGAAATTAATTTTAAAATTTAATTCTGGGTCTTGAATAGTTTCATCTGCATGTTCATAATCAAATGATTTTTTTTTCTTGCGTGGTCGTATTGTGTTCGCATCAGGAAACTTACAATCGCAATCCATTTCTTTTGTTATTAACTCTGCTTCTTTTAAAATGGTGGCAAATATTTTGTCTGTACGACATTCCCTTAAATATGACTCTAGATCAGACAGCATAGTAATAATAGTGCATATTATTGCATGTTCTTGTTGCATTAGTTTGCTTACAATATTAATTTTAGTTAATATATTGTACCATATAAGCGTTGAGCATATAAATTTGAACGATTTTATTTTCGTAAGTAAAGATTTTGCTGTGTTTCTAGTAGAAGCATTTGTTGTAGAGTCACTGTATAGGCCTTTACAGACGGACGTTTATGCCCGCGTTGATGTTTGCACATCCAAAAACGTGCATACAAAAACATATGCTAGGTCAGCGTACAGACGCACGTACAAAATCCGCAGTTTTGCTTAGTGGCTGAACGATGTCCAAGGAAGTGGTTGACTTAGCGTTGGCAGCAGTGGCGTGCGCTAATGTGCTCAAAATCAAGAATAAAAAAAATAAAACTCGCCGCGTGTGGTGTAAAAATTGGCTTCTGTAACGGCAAAGGTTTTCTCACATTAACCTATTGGCAGAATTGACAATAGAACCGGATGATTGGCGTAATTATCTTAGAATGGACGAAGATACTTATTCGCTACTGTTGAAGATGGTAACTCCATTGATACAACGTCAAAATACAATCATGAGACCGGCAATAAGTGTACACGAACGATTAACTGCAACCCTAAGATATTTAGCGACTGGACGAAACTACCAAGATTTGAAATTTACCACTGCAATATCTGCACAATCCTTATGTACAATAATTCCGGAAACATGTGAAGCTATATATGAAGTGCTGCATAAAGAATACATGAAGGTAAGAAAAACATTTATTTTAGAAAGTAACAGAAGCATGATTGGGTATTAAAAAAAATATATATTAATTGTTCATACAAATCATGTGTGACTATACCCAGAAAAATACGTTGAAGTCGTATTTTGCTCAGCCGAAGATTCAAAAGGAAACTGATAAGTTAAGTTATTTGTTGCTAATTGGTTCAAATCGTGATGGTTAAAGGTGTTGCTGCGTCCTGTTGGCTGGATTATTTCTGTTATAATTTTCGTATTTTCGGAAATTTTTCCAAGTTCTGCTTGGAATCATTTTCAGTTCCCTACAACAGAAGAGGAATGGACAACTATTGCTGAAGGCTTTGAGAAACTTTGGAATTTTCCTAATTGCGTGGGGGCGGTAGATGGTAAGCACGTTCAAATAATACCGCCACCAGGTAGCGGAGCATATTATTATAATTACAAGGGCTACAACAGTTTAGTTCTTATGGCCATATGTAATGCAAATTACGAATTCATAATGTGCGATTTTGGTATCAATGGTCGAATATTCGATGGAGGTGTTATTGCACATACTAAGTTTTATAAGAAACTGAAAAACGGAACTTTGCATCTACCAGACTCAGTAAATCCACAGAATAGTCAAAGACAACTGCCATTCGTTTTCATTGGTGATGAAGCGTTTGCATTACGTTCTGATTTCCTAAAGCCCTATAGGCAGAAAGATCTTAATCATGACAAAAAAATTTTTAAATACCGATTGGCACGGGCATGAGGTAAAATTGAAAATACATTTGGCATATTAGCAGCACGATTTCAAATCTTTTACACTCTTATCCGGTTACGCTTAGAATCAATAGACAAAGTGGTACTGGCTTGCTGTGTACTTCATAATTTTTTAAAACGAAGCTGCCCTAACATATACACACCACCTGATTCTGATTTCGAAAAAGGAAGTTTGCAATCAGGTCTGAGAGCTAATCCAAGTCACCTTGCTCACCTGCAACGTAGCCATGGTGGGAACTTTGGCAGTGAAGCAGAGCAAGTGCGACAATTATTTATGCAGTATTTTAATGAAGAAGGAGCTGTATCGTGGCAAGAAAGAATGATATAGTGACAGCTACAGTCTCAGCAACCTCTCTCTCAGTCTCAGCAACACTATCACCTTCCTGTTCCCGTTCATTACTTTCGTCTGCTACCACATTGTTGTCGTCGTCATCACTAGGGATGTTCGAAGCCGACTTTCTAGGTTTGTCCTGGTCTCGAAGAAACAGCAGTAGGTCATAGTACCACAGTGAAGGTACATAAACTTCATCGGTACCCGCACCACTTCTTTTGGAGTCTAGAACCTTCTTATTTTCCCTACGAAAACCTCCTCTAAGACTATTTATTTTAGTAATAACTGAAGCTTTGGTCGCGTTTGGCTGAACAACCTGCAGCTTCTTGATCAGCATTTTGTAGGCGTCGCTTTTTTTATTTTTATCCAAATATGCTTTGGTTTTTATATGCCACAGACAGGGCAGTTCCCTGTACATTTCAATGAATTCACGTAGGAAGTCACGAGAGAGTGTTCTACAATCAGACATTCTACAAAACAATAAATTTGCGAATCAAATTTCATAAACATGGAACTTACCTGGGCACTGGACGCTACTGATGAACGTCGCACAATTTACATCCACACGTTGAGACATGAGAGCGAATCCCGACAGCCGACAGAAGTTTTGTGCGTCGTTCTTTTTGAGTGTGCACTCAAACAGGTGACGTTCTTCTGCATACACATTAACGTTTTTGTATGTACGTTTTTGAATGTGCATACATCAACGCGGACATAAACGTCCGTCTGTAGAGGCCTTAAAACTCATATAAAGCGTCATACACCGATGGTAAATTATATTTAAAAACTTTGACAGCTTCAACCCTACTTTCCCATCTAGTATCTGAAAGTGGTTTTAATGTCAACGTTGGGCATTCATTTTTAAATACATGCCACCGATGTGGCGAAGCAGAAAAAAACACATAAATTTCTTGAATTAAATCAAAGAAGCTGGAAATTTCTAATGAGGAATTTGCGGCGTCGTTAACAATTAAATTTAAAGTATGAGAGGAACATGGGATATAAAACGCTCTCGAGTTTATATCTAAAATTTTTTTTTGAAGACCATTGCTTTTTCCTCTCATATTGGCCCCATTGTCGTATCCTTGACCTCGCATATCTTGAATATCTATATTTTGTTTATCTAAATAGTCTAATAAGAAATTTGTTAAACCATCACCAGTAGTATTTGTTATAGGACAGAATCCCAAAAATACATGTGCACAAAACGTACGATAATTATTATCTGTTCTTGATGATTTATGTCTGGTGTACAGTCTAATATGATTGAATAGTATTTACATAGACGCAAGGTATTAATAATTTTATTTTTTATTTTTTTTTATGTTTTGTATTTTGTCACCTAGATAATGAGGCATGTATTCTTCATTTTTTATAATTCGATTCAAGTGTTCTGCCATAACACTGTCAAACTGGGCGACTGCTTCGACCATTTTTAAAAACTTTCCATTATTGTTTTCAAATAATCTGTTATTATGTCCTCTTAAAGCTAAATTTTGTCCAGCTAAGAATTGAATGATGATTATAATACGTTCTATCACTTGTTTCCACCGTTTCTTTTCTAGGAATATTAAATTTTCATTAGGTTGATCAACCGTTTGCTTTTTTGTCATCGCTGTTTTTAGATCAGTCCATAATTTATAGCTTTTATAATGAAACGCACTTTTTTCATGCCGTTCCAAGTTTCTAGATAAATGTTGCCAATCGCTGTAGCCTTGAGAAGTATTAAATGCGTTGCTGTTGTTAACAAATATTTTGCAACAGAAACAATGAACCGAATTTTTTGTTTTAGAATACACTAACCAGCTTCTGTGAATCGTTTCATTATTATTTAAAAGTCGGTAAAAATATTTTGTTGAAAACGATATATTATTCTTATCTGGTGGAAACGCACAATTTTTAATTTGAATAGGTCCAATTTCTATTAGTGTCATTCTTATTGGGTCCGTAATCAATTCAGGCCACATACCTGGATCGTCCAAAGAAATGTCACAATTTTCATTTTTTGTAATTAAGATATCTTCGGCTGAATTTCTTACAGGTTCGTTTGAAATGTTCACGTCGGATTCTTCTTCCTCTGTTATATTTGTGCCAATGTTTTATATTTCAGTGGTAGGATCTTCTGTTGTGCCACATTTGCTAGTTGAAGGAGCAACATCAAAGAACGAAGTAATTTTTTTTACGGTGTTTTCTATTCTTTCTTCTCGTTCTAATTTTCTTTTTCTAAATGCAGCTCCCGATAATTTTTTCTTTCCCTCCGACATCTATTTAAGTATTATTGTATAATTATCTTAATTGTATAATTTTATTATTTAATTGTATAGTATTAAGTATAAGAATCTTAGAATGGGGTAATTTATTGACTTTATAGTACTGAGGATGTCAGTGAAGTGCACAGCAGCTTATTAAAAAAAATGTTATTACTCAAACAACAAGGATTCTCCACTCGACTCCGACTTTAAATTATCGCTGTATCATTGATTTTTAATGCAAGCTTACCTTAAATTTTGGTAAAAAAATAATACACTTAACACTATTATAGAACGAGCACACTATTAACAACTAGTCCGTCGTGACGTGCCAAACGGGAAACGGGGTATTTACTTAATAAAATAAAATAAAATGTAATCTATAAGTTGGTTTAAAACTACGATATTAATTCACTACAAAACTCGATAGATGACACATTGATGGAGAATCGTTGGTAAATCCTAATGGTTGTCGAAAAATTAACTAAGATTTCCGCAGATATGTGTTTTTAATCTAATCGTAAGTTAAAAACACATACTTAATACATATTTATAAAATACGTAATAATCAAGCAATAAATATTCGATGTCTTCTTCTGTTTACTCAATTTTTTATTATTCTTTTCTTAAATATTTCATTATTTTCAGTATTAGTTCGCCTTTGCATATAAAAGCGCAATTTTATCGCGTTACATGCGCCCCTAGGATGACCGCGCCGGGGTGCGATGCACCCCTTGCACCCCCTGCACGGCGCACCCCTGAATGAATAAGATCTCAATACTATCTTCTAGAACAGCGGTTCCCAAAGTTTTATTTATCAATAGAATACCATTTTCATACACATGCGCTAAGAAAGAACAAAGCAATCAATGAGATGGATGAACTTGCATACTTTTGACAAGAATTGCAATTCTAGGTTGAATAGAAGAAAGCGCACAATGTAGATCACTATCAATGTTAAGCTTATTTCTATATTTCAGTTTTATTGCTACAACTGTAGAAAACGCACAAATAGGTGCTAGAATAGGGTAAATACACTTGGAACACTTGTTGTGCTATGCTGGGATAAGCTTTGAGATATTTTACCCAAAATGGTGACTTATCCATCTTCTCAAAAACGTATTTGGCAGCAGAATCATTTTTAATTTCCAAAACTTGCTCTTGTAGTGTTTCTGGTAGATTTGGCAGTGGTTTATCTTTTAACGCACTATGTTTTGTTGAGAAATGTCGTTCCAGACGGGAAGGTTTCATAGCATCATTGCTTAACATTTCGTAACAATGTCGACACCATTTTTGTGTATAGCAACAAAACCATATTTATCAGGAACCCTGAGAGCGTCCTTAGATCCCCTTTGCTGAGGTATAAAAAGGCTTTGGTGTTGTTTTGCGACGGAGTTATCATACTCTTCGCTTGTCAGAGAACCTGGAAGTTCTTTCCAGCGTAAGGCTACCTTTGAGGTCTCCCAACTGTTAATTACTTATGTTAGGTGACTTTTTTGTAGTCCACAACTGGGTTGGTGTCCAATAAAGGGCGTTTTCGCAGCTTTTTTTGCCAACTTCTCATTGCCTTCAATGTCTCTGTCATCTGAAACTCAATTGAGTTCTTTCAAGTTGCTAGTAAACTCTGATCAGTGCGGGGTCACACGTGTAGGCCTGAATTGCCTTTAGGGCGGCACAACTGTCTGTGAATATGTTTATGGATGCACCTTTCAGTCCCTTTTGTGGGTTCAAAGCGGTGCAAGAACTTCGATACTGATTAGGGACTTCCCATAATGTCATAGCCATCATACATTCGGGTATTCCCCGTAAAACATTAACAAACGAAAGGGTTTATCAGCACTCGGAAATATAAAACATGTATTTTATTGTGAAAAAATTGTTAGGTTTCGATATTTGGGCGGACAATCTCCCCATCTGTAGAAATACCAAAGTCTAAAGATTCAAGAAATATGGACTAGAGGTTTTTTCAACCAACATTTTCCCAAACCAAGTAGGCAGACGGTTTTCGGTCTTGAGTTCTCTTAAATTCTCAAGTTTATGATTTAGCAGAATTAGCAGCAACAAAAGATTATCAACCGCCTGCATCCACGAATAGATTTGGTTGACCAAGAAATATTTCTCCCAGTTTTGTAATTATACAAACATAGCTGTTCTTGCACAATCTCGTGTTCACTCAAAAACTCAACACTACTGTATCGATTAAACGTGTCTAAACGAATTTCAAAAGTGAAACATTTACGTGGAAGAATCTACATTTTGGATGATTTACCAAAAACACCAACCAGAAAACTAAAAAAGAAAGAATTAAGAGATCTTAAATCAATATAACATTTAAGTTGATCTATTTTATTTGTTACTTTGTTCATTTTTTGCTTACTCTTTGTTTTTGGTTTAAGTTTTGCAAAAGCCCGAAGCAAACACGTTTCCACCTCTTTGAACATAAACTCTCTTGGTTACACTTAAAAGACCATAGACGAGAATAATTAAAATACCCCGCAGCGTTTTAATAATAAATTGCAGCAGGTGTACGGTTGAACCAACCCAAGATACAACAAATTACTATAATCATCATTAAAAAAAGTTTTTTTAATTTATTCTTATTAAAAATGTGTTACCATAAACATACGCTTCTGAGCTACCTAAATAAACCTTTCATCGTGGCACTCCAAATATACCGAAGTTTCGAAGTTGTACGCCGAGTTTTATTTATAAAGAACACAAACACCCACAAGTGTGTATATTTTTCATCGCATGATATAGAAAATTATGAAAGGAAAGACAATGATGAAGGTAATAAGTAATAAAGCTCGTGAACAGGATATGCAAGTTTTCGCGATTTTAACCATTTTAGGTTCGCCGACTCGTAACGTTCAATGACGCATAATTATCTTTCCTTTTTGAGCAGCCCAAGAGAAAATTTTTATAAAAAATTGTTTATGAACGGCGTAGGTTTTCTATGTGTGGGCGTTATCTTGCGGTGTTCTACAATATGATTCTTAACTTTATAAGGATTTTAAATAATTTCAATTTCGTAAGAGTAGAAACAGAAAATAGGTAATTATGTTATCTATTTCGAATGCACAAACACAATAAACTTATTCATTACTATTGTTATCCATGCATTTGGAAATAGAGCGTAAAAGATTTACGTTGTATTATTTGTGTTTATAGCCGGGTTATTTGTTCTGGTTAGTTTAAGTTAATTTTAATGTTTTGACAACTGGTTGGAATAATAATATGACTAGTTGCTTTAAGAATGTTATTTTCATTTCATTTAAACTGGCATGAAAACTGTGTGTATTAAGCAAGACTACTAAACGATCGTATTTATTTTTAACTTTTTTCATTCAACACGAAATACAAAATAAAACATCCATTGTGTTTCATTGTTCGTGTTGCTTCAATTTAAAACTTGGATAAAAACGAAAGAAAAAAAATAACGAACGCTATCTCACGTTTACATCGAGTACAGTAAAACACTTCATTGTCACATCGTAATAACCCATTTCGTACACCATTCTTCCATCGAAACCATACCAGATATGGAGCTTCCTTAATCAAACCCGTGCGGGCTAAAAACATATTCGAGCGATAAAACGCGTTCAACTTGGATAGTAACCGTGACTTTATATCGTCGGTAATAAAATTTCAAAAAGAATTTCAAAATAATAAAAAAAATATTCATGAGTTTATACCTGCCCTTTTCACAAGAACATAAACGTAACAAAGTGTAGAAAAGTAGTCTTCTTTTTTTTTTTGGTTCTCGAACTTGTAAACCTCTCCTTCTTACTTTGTTATCAGTTCTCTTTGTTTTTTTTCTTAAATAGTATCATCTCGCTAAGTGGTACCTGAGAACTTTTCTCGGCTGTATTTTAAAATGTTTAAAAAGTAATTAAATTGATTGGATTAAACTTGAAAACAGTTATTTGTGTATTAAAAGAGTATAAATCGAACCTTTTTAATATGAATGTGGTATTCAATTAATAATCTTAATTAAGAGTTTTATAATTAAATAATTCTATTAAACTGTAAATGTTTACAAATAATTGATAGGTCTTAATCATAATATAGCTCCATGATATTTACATCAAGATATATCTAACTCCGCTAAAGTTGAAGCTAACTCTATTACAAATTACAACCACACACTATTGCACTACAGCCCATTGTGAGCCTAGATTTCATCTACAAGACTCATCTCGATTTTGGGCTAAATTACCCCAGTTTTGCATACATCGCCTCCTTGGCCTTCTTCTACCTCAGTCTTTGGGCTTTAATCCATGTTGATAGTTCTGGTCCTTCCTGCACTTTTCTTATCTCGTAATTCATTAATTATCTCCATTCTCCCAGGTTTGTATCATATTTTGGCCCATATATCCTTCATAAGATTTTTCTTTTAAACTTATTTAACAACTCTTGGTGATGATAATTGAGTGTCCAAGTTTCAGATGTATGTATAGCTTACATATGGAGTTATATGTAAGATTATAAATTTATACCGTAGTAGTTTGCCCAGCGCAAAAGCTGCTCTATTCCCTGCTAGTATTTTCCACCATTTATTTATTTATTTATTTGTTTGGGATGCCAACAGGGAAACCCCCAATAGCGGCATCCACTAGCAATAACAAAAAAACATTATTAAATTTACTGACAATAATCCACAAAAAATATACATTTAATAACAATCCATTAAATTACTCGTAATATCAATATTAGGACCATGCCACAACCATGCCCCGCAAAGATCGTTTAAAGGACGCAATAGATATATTAAAAATGTCCACTTGACCATCATTTAATTGTTCAAGGACTTCCTCTATTATTCTATTACTGGGGTTATATTAATTGCAGCTTTTTTCGGGAATAGCTAAGTTGGCAAAAACCTTTTTTATTTTTGAAAATTTGGACTAATAAAAAGTGGTATTTTCTGTTTTCCGCTGATAGATCCATATTATTCTTAGGTGTTTCCTTATATTGTTCTGGCATTGCAAAATGGGACGTCCCCAGTTTTTTTTTCTTTCCCCTCACTTTCCATTCAATTTTCTTGTCCATCGTGTTCTCTCTATCCTAACAATGTGACCCGCCCAACGCCATTTAGCTTTCAATATTCTTACGTGTTCCATCTTGATCCGTTCTCTTTTCCATTCTATTGATTTCTTATCACTTATTGGTGTGTCTACATCTGAATTCTGGCAGTCTCTGGTCTAGATTAGTGAGATTGGTTTTTGCGTCATTCATTGTTGCTAATTGGAGACTCTTTATATGGATGCTACCAGTAAATTATTGGTGGTTGCATTTCTCCTATTGAGTTGGCTTGAAAGAGTACTCATTCCGATTCGTTCGAATGTATATTTTCTTCCTGTAGTCGACATTTTGTATGAACACGTTGGTTATTTTCTTGCGTTGGAATTCTTTATATTTAGTCACGGTCGTAAAATACCTACCTTGCTTTTTGCCAGGTATGGTATGGTATGATCGGTCGGATGGTATGTTGTTGGCCAATGTTTTTGCTATTGCTTGACGAAAGACGATTACTAGGCAGAATTAACGGTCACTTGTAATGATTTTGTCCTCTCAGCAAAAGATCTTTAATATGTTGCATAATAGCATTTATGCATTACGCTACTTCATGTTGGTTTTCTTGAATAGTTTTGACGTTGTCTTTAAATATTTTTAAAGTTCCTTTATATAGATGAATTTGAACCTGTATCGCTGCTTCCATTACGTCAATTTGATCCTATTTCTGTTATCACTTTCTCCTGTTTGATACTGCTTTTATAATTGAACCCAAGTTTAATTGTTGTAGCAGATCTTTCTAACGATGTTTGCTCGGTACCGTTTTTTATTTCTTCTGCAAATGTTATTAGTTCGTTGTATTATTCTGTTAATTAAAGTTGCCAATCTGTATCACTAGTGGTTTGAGATCACATTGTACCACTGTTGTCTACTGGCTGACCTGGTGTTTGGCTGTTCCCAGATGTAATGGGAATAAAGAGGCATCTAACGTGGTTATTCGGACGTCGAGTCTTGCCCAGGAACATTGATTTTTTTTGTAATCTGGGAATCGATCGCTATTTTTAGAAGATGCAAATTCCGTGGTAAGTTCTACTGTTCTTCTCGTATTCGCTGACATAAAACTTGAGAGTTTACCACAAGTGTTCCATATGTCGGACTCCACGTCGACGATTTGAGTACTTCGTGGAGTCAGAATTAAAATGTTCTTGTAATGGAGTGTTTTTTTTATATAGAAATAACTGCTGATGCTTAATATTTGTGCTTCCAATGAGTTAAGAAATGGCTGCGTATGGCAACTATATACGTCTTAGCCTGCCGAACGTTGTCCACACCAGTTGCTTATTTACTCTTATGTTCAGTACTGAATAGACTTCTATTTCGTCTATAGCGATTCTATTTAAGCAAATAGGCAGATTGTTGGGTTGTGTTGTTTTTTCATAATCTTTGTTTTACTCATATTCATTGTATCGTTGTTCTTACATTATTTACGCTTTATCTTTCGATACTAATTCTACAGTTTTCCCAATGTAGTTTCTTGAACATGTCTTCTAGTACTAATGTGAACAGCTTCGGCGATATCGAATCTTCTTGTTTTATCCCTCTTTCCAGTTTGATTCCTTCCATTTCTGTGTGGAGCTTGGAACTCCTTGCTCTCTTATAGATGTTTTAAATAAGCTCAGTACATCTTGAATCAATTTTACAGTTTTCCAGTGCAGTTACTATCGTCCATATTTCAATTGAATCAAAAGCCTTATTATAATCAATAAAACTAAGTATACATCTTTGTCATATTCTAGAAATCTTTCAATTACATTACGTAGTGACTGCATATGATCTAAAGTTCTGTAGTGTTTCCTGAATTAAAAATATAAGGGAGTTAGTGAATTGCAAAGAACTTGTGTTTCAGCAATTTGCGGCGCATTAAATGTAATCAATTTGGCCAGATACAAAATTCTAGTTACCATGCATTTACTTGAATTTGAAGATATTTTGTATTTTACTTGCACCAAAATAGCAGTTTTTGAACTATTTTTGATTGGATAATACCAAATTTTAAGTTTTCAGGATGAAATAGCTACTTTTGCAATCTGACAAAACCAGCTAGCAAGAAAATATTTTTTCAATCAAAGTTATATATTGCTTAAACATGTGTTATTAAAACAAACTTTTTCTTATTAGTTAGTAGATTGTATCAATCTTTAATTTTCCTCTCTCTTACATCCTTAAAAGGTGCCGATTTCAAAAAAAAAAATAATACTTGTTCCAATTGACAAAGTTATTCTCGTTCTGGTTGTATCGTTGACAATAACTTTTGTATAAATTTCTCCTTTAGGTATGCTGTTATCCGTTGTGAGTAACTCAATAGCGAACTCGTTCCGCCGTAATGCACTTTAATCAAATATAAATTATTCAGTACGTAAAAGGAAGAAAACGGGGCCATTAAGTTAATCTGTGATCGGACCGCTATAAGTTGCAAAGACGACCAGGAGAGCCGTTAAGAAGAGCCCCAGAGGAGCTAATCGTTTATAAGTTGCAAGATTCTCAATGGGGGATCTACTCTAATAATAATTGCTATAATTCTATCGTGCTATGTTCATCGCGGCCACGTCAATTATAAGAGTCTTAGTAATTGGTTTATCATTTTGTACATATTTTAAGTTAAATTTTTTAATTTAATT